TTTTTTAACTTTAATTTTATTAATTATTTTTATTTTTATTAATTAGTTTATTCACTTTGTATCCTCTCTGTATCTCCCTCCTACCTCCCCTCCCAATCCCGCCCTCCCTCTTCTCCACCCGTGTCCCTCTCCCAGTCCACTGAAAAGGGAGGTCCTCCTCCCCTTCCCTCTGACCTTAGTCTATCAGGTCTCGGCAGGAGTGGCTTCATTGTCTTCTTCTGTGGCATGCTAAGGCTGCTCCCCCCCTCAGGAGGAGGTGATCAAAAAGCAGGCCAATCAGTTCATATCAGAGACAGTCCCTGTTCCCATTACCATGGAGGCCACTTGGATACTGAACTGCCATAGGCTACTTCTGTGCAGGGGTTCCAGGCCATCTCTATGAGTGGTCCTTGGCTGGAGTATCAGTTTCAAAAAAAGACCCCTGTGCCCAGATTTTTAGGATCTGTTGCTGTCCTTATGGAGCTCCAGTCCTCTCTAAGTCATACTATCTCCACTTCTTTCGTAAGATCCCCTGTACTCTGCCCAAAGTTTGGCTATGAGTCTCAACATCTTCCTCGATACCCTGCAGGGTAGCGCCTTTCAGAGGCCTTCTGTGGTAGGCTCCTGTCCTGTTCCCTGTTTTCTCCCTCCTCTGATGTCCATCCTCTTTGCCTTTCTGAATGGGGATTGAGCATCTTAGCCAGAGTCCTCCTTCTTGATTAGCTTCTTTAGGTGTACAGATTAAAGTTTGTTTATCCTATATTATATGTCTAGTATCCACTTCTGAGTGAGTATATATGCCCTGTATGTCTTTCTGCTTCTGGTATACCTCACTCAGGATGAACTTTTCCAGTTCCCACCATTTACCTGCAAATTTCATGATTTCCTTGTTTTTTTATCGCTGAGTAATATTCTATTGTGTGGATATACCACAATTTCTATATCCATTCCTCAACTGAGGGGCAGCAGATGCCCATTTATACTATTCCTTTATGTTAGTCTTGCTATTTCCCAGTGATGTGCCCTGATTTACTTGTCATATCTATTCTGTCCAGGCTGTTTCTGTTCCTCACGGCCAGCTCCTCCTGGTGACATCCTCGCTCTACTTCTTTTCTCTCTTTCTCTCCTCCCATCTAGAGATCCCTACCTGAGACCCCAAGACTGGGAACAGAAGTTCTGCCCACTCATCTCTCACCAAGCAATAGGGTGTTCAGGTTTTTAATTAATATATCAGAGATAAATGGGGAGCAAAGTTTATGCAAGTTGATCAATATACATGATGAAGCCCTTGTCCAGATTGCAATTAGATCTTGGAGCCCAGAATTCAGCATCTGAATACACAGAGCAGGAGACCAACTCCCAACAGACCAACCCATGAAAAGACACAAAGGAAACTTAAATATATATTAGGAAGCAAAAGAAGCAAATTTGCAAAGGCTACGTACCAAATTATTCTGACTAACGATAATCTCAAAAAGGAAAAATATAAAAACAGTAAAAAGTTCTTTGGTTATCAAAACTTCTGGGGAGAAAGGGCAGAACAGAAAATCCATAGAATATTTTTTGGGGGAAAGCAGTGAAACTGTTCTATAGGCTGCTATGATGTGGAACACATGTATTTGTCTATATTGTAAAATATGAATTCTTTGGTAAACCATGGAGTATCTGTGATATTGTATGTCAGTGTGGGTTCATTAACTACAACCAATATCCCTGGTGGAGAATTTTGATAATGAGGAAGACTATGCATAAGCAATACTAGGGAAATGTCTGTATCCTCTACTTACATTTGCTCTGAACCTAAAATTACTCTAAAATGAATGTCTACTTTTTTATTTGAAATTGTTTTCTTTAATGCAAAACATTCTGTAAACTATGCTGCTAAGCATTTGCTTGAAATAAAAACATTTAAGTAATGTCTAAGCATTTAAATGCATGATTTCTTCCTCTTTGGCCTCAGTGTGTGTCTGATGCAGCTTGTATCTTTATCTATGTAGAGCCTGACAGCATTGGCCATCTACTGATTTGGCTACCAGGGCTGTAGCTTGTTTCTCATTTCCCACAGCTAGTGTCCACTCTCTGCTCTGGTTTTCACCTACCCAGGTCCTGTCTTTTCAGGGTGGGAGTGCTGTTAGCAAATGTGTCACCAGCTATAAGGTGTATCCTGTGACCCCAGTCTCTGAGAGCTTCTCTGGTGATCTTCCAGCATCTCACACTCATCACCTCTATGTTCAGAAGACAACTGATTACAGTAAGGCCATCATCACAGACCAACAGGGTTGTTAGAGATAAACAGAAACAGTGATACAGGAACATAAAAAATGATAACGTACATGTGAGCCTATCTGGTGCACTAAAACTCATTAAGTTTTTTGTTACAGCTTCAGTATTAATTCTCTGAGAGTGATAGTGTAACTCAGCTGGCAGAATGCTTGCTAGCATGCACAAAGCCTTAATTTTGATACTTATCACTGCATAAACTGTGCATGATGGCTCATGTCTATAATCTCAGCACTCAGGTGGTGAGAGCAGGAAGATTTAAGTTCAGAGAGTCACCCTCAACTATACAGCTGATGGCTACCCTGAGCTACATGAGACTCTGGTTCAAGGAACCAAAACAAACGTATAAACAAGCAATATCTACTTTCTTAAGTGGGGTTCAAAACATAAAAAGCTGAAAATAAAGAACAGAAAGTGCTAGAATATTACTTGGTGTCTGCCTTCCTTGACCTCAGATGGGAATGAGGCCTTGTTGACAGTTTGCAGTGGGATCAAGAACCAGAACCTATCTACATACATAAGTCTTAAGAAGTTAAAAAAAAAAATTACTTGTACAACCTTCAGAAACGGAAATACAGAATCTGTACATGCTATTTTGAGTAACTTTGGAGATCAAAAAATCTATATTAAAATACACTTCTGTTACTGCTCCATGTGCCTACCTTACTTCACCTAAATTTCTGTTCTCTGCTAAATAAATCATGAACTTAATCTTTTTCTGTGTTCCCTTTCTTTCTCTGCACAAAGGACATCAAAGGTCTCTTCTGGCTAATCTGCAGCCCTTCTGAAATAATGTGCTTATATATTTTGAATGTCTGTTAAGGGAAATAGCCCTACCTATTTAATATCATGTTGTGGTCTCCAGAAGGCATCTTGACTTCTCAAACTTTGCTTTTTAATTATATTGTCTCCTGCTTAGATTACACTTATGTATCTCCTCCTTCTCTAACTACCCCAGCAACTCTATCATCCTCTACCTAAAGAACAGGGATCTGAGTAGACCTTAGTGCTCTACATTAACTTACCATCATGTTATTGCTTTTTGTTTACATTCTTATGTCTATTCTACTTAGTTACTAAGACAGAAATATTTTCATCTTTAGTCTACAGTATTTGTTAAAGGATATAAATGTGTTTACTTAGAGGTGAAATTTGAAATCACAGAAAAAGTAGGCTTAGTTCAAGGCATTGAAAATCTGTTTGGGAGCCAAAAAATCTGGGCCCAGGGGTCCCAGTGACCGATGTGCCACCCAGGGACCATTCATGGAGATAACCTAGAACACCTGTACAGATGTTGCCCATGGCAACTCAGTTTCCAAATGGGTTCCCTAATAAGGGGAATAGGGACTGTCTCTGACATGAACTCAGTAGCTGGCTCTTTGATCACCTCCCCCTGAGGGAGGGGGCAAGTTTGCCAGGCCACAGAGGAAGAGGATGCAGCCAGTCCTGAAGAGACCTGATAGTAGGGAAGGAGGACTTCCTCTGTCAGTGGACTAGGGCAGGACCATAGGGGGAGAAGAGGGAAGAAGTGTGAGGCTGGGAGATGAGGGAGGGGGCTACAGCTGGGATACAAGGTGAATAAATTGTAATAAATAATAAATCATTAAAAAAGAAAATCTATTTGGGATATTCTGCATTCTTAATTTCCTTCACCACTTTCATCCCTTATTCAAACACACACACACATACACACTATAGTTCATTAAATTACTCATACTACTTAAGTTTGTTGGAGGTTTCCTGTTTTTGTTGTTGCTGCTTGTCTTTTTGATTTTTGTTTTAATTTTATGTGTTTTATGACAGGGTCTCTCTGTACAGCCTTGGCCGTCCTGCACTCGATTTGTAGACCAGTCTGGCCTCGAACTCAGAGATCTGCCTGCCTCTGCCTCCCTGAGATTAAAGGCGTTTATAAAATTGTAGGCTGAGTTGTAGCTCAGTGGTTGAGCCCGTGGCTGGCCCCCTCAAAACCCAAGTATTAACGCTCACACTCCGGCTTTATCCCTTATATCCAGTGCTCTGCCCTTCTCAAGATCCGGTATTTGTCACAGAAGAAAATGCATTCGAAACGTCCGTACAAAAAGCCTGGTCCTCTCTGGTGGGTGTGGTTCTTGGGTGAAGAACGAAATTGTCTTTGGTGCTGCTGTTGCACTCGGCTTAAGGCCAGCACTGAAGCAAAGGCAGCAAACCCTAGCCAGAGTTCTAAGAAGGCCTATCTAGAGTTCTTCCTTCACAGGCATCTTGCCTCAACAGGCATCCCTCAGACACCAGCCACTGACCGTGAAGCTCCTACAGAGCCACAGCCCGGAACCGAGCATGCGTGGTGCACTTGAACGCTCTCCTGGCTTGTGACAGGGAAAGCTAGCAGCCAGTGGGGCACCTGGTGGACACGCCTCCAGCGGCTAGGTCGGTGTTAGGTCCCTGTCTCTCCGCGGCCCTCCCGTCCACCTGGAACCTTCCCCGGGAGACCGCCGCGGGACGGAGGGGGCACGGACTTCCCGGACAACGCTGCGCCGCCCCAGCCGACGGCGGACAGGGCTGAGGGAACCTCCTCCGCGGCCGTTGGCGCTCCCTCGGCGCGCACCCGAGCTCCGGCCGTTGTCGCCTCGGAGCCACACCACGATGTACGTACTGACCGCCGACGACCCTACTCGAGCTCCACACGAGCTTCGCGCCTCCTGCGGGTTTCCGTAGTGCCGCTGGGTCTCGCGAGACCGACGCCGAAAGCCGCCGCGAGCGCTTCCGGGAGGTTACCGAGTCGGGGACGCTTCCCTCGGCTTGCGGGAGCGCGGGCTCGGGAGCCGGAGCCTGGCGGGCTCGCCATGGACCGCGACTTGCTGCGGCAGTCGCTGGGCTGCCACGGCCCGGCGCTGCTGGCGCTGCTGCGGAGCGAGCAGCAGGACAACCCGCACTTCCGGAGCCTCCTGGGCACGGCGGTCGAGCCTGCCCGCGGCGCGGCGCCGCCTCCGGGAACCGGCAGGTACGAGGGCCGGAACGTGGGCCGGGCCGGGCGCAGGGCCGACTGGAGAGCAGGAGCCCCGGGGCGTGTGGCCCGGCACTGGGTCCTGGCTAACAGGCCGGGTTGCTTCCTCTGAACCCGTGGCAAGGCTATCATAGCCTCCCCGCTCACATTTCCAAGTAGGCGGCCGAGAGAGAATGGGCTGAAAACTTCTTCCGGAGCTCAGTGGGTAAAATCATTTCCCATCAAGCTCCGTGACCCGAGTTCGATTCCCAGGATTCCCGTGGTAGGAGAGGAGGATTCCCCAGCGTTGACTGTGTGCACAGTGACACACAGACGCCATACATCTGCACTAAGTAAATACATGTTATAAAGCCAAAATAATAAAAATAAGGCTTCCTCTAGGTTTACTGCCTGGAATGGAACCCGGGGAAGGTTGGGTAACGAAAACAACTTTGTATGAGTTTGGATGTATGAGAGCTTTGCTCATAAAACAGTTTTAACCGCTTGTTTTTCCTTTTAAGGAAAGAGAAGAGAGTTGACAACATCGAGATACAAAAATTCATCTCTAAAAAAGCGGACCTGCTTTTTGCCCTGTCTTGGAAATCTGATGCATCTACACCCTCGGAAGTACATGACGACAATGACAGTAAGTTTAGTCTGGAAAGTGTTTCAAAATTGGTTGTTGGTTTTTTGCAGTAAACCAAAAGAGAGGGAAATCAGAATTACTCTGGTGATTTCAGTTTTTTTTTTTTTTTTTTTATCTCAGATCATTATGCAGTCATGCCACCCTTAGAGCAGTTTATGGAGATTCCAAGCATGGACCGGAGGGAGCTGTTTTTCCGAGATATTGAGCGTGGTGATATAGTGATTGGAAGAATTAGCTCTATTCGAGAATTTGGTTTTTTCATGGTGTTGATATGTTTAGGAAGTGGCATCATGAGAGACATATCTCACTTGGAAATCACAGTAAGTTACTCCATACTCATCCCATACAGAAACTATGTGCATAAATTTACCTGTTGGTATACCTTCTGGTATTAAATATAAGCTGAAGAGAAGTGTAGTTGCTTCTCTTAATAAAAGCATTAGAAAGCCGGGCATTGACAGTGCATGCCTTTAACCCTAGTGCTCAGAAGGCAGAGATGGGCAGATCTTTTGAGGTCAAGCCCAGCTTGATTTATGTAGTGAAACCTTGTCTCAAAAGCAGAAGTACTAGAGTGTTACATTTCCTCCAATTTTTGTTTTTTTAGGGTTTGGGGGACTCTGGTTGCAGGTCAGTTTTCTTTTTTACATCATAGAAATCTGTTAGTTGATATGATAATATTCATTGGTATTCAGAACATATCATCCAGCTAAATATATGTGTAATAACTGGGCATTACATGTTTGCATATGAGTAATTTAGCAAAAACTTCCTAATAATAAGATACTTTACCTCAATTTGAAATATTTCACTTTAAAAAAAAAACAGTTGATATTTGCTGTCACGCCATATACAAAGAAAAATACATAAAACTGGAGAATTCATATTTCGTTTAGCAAATGCAAATATCTTTGTTTTCTTGTCTTTGTTTTGGTTCTTAAAACTAGAAAACAAGCTTTATTGTGTTTGGACACAAGTTGTAACTGAAAATCTTATAAAGTTAAGTAACTGACCTGTCTGTTATCGGTTGTATAAAACCATCAGAAAGAATGACCTATCTTTAATGTAGTAAGCCAAACACAGGAGAACAATTACCACATGTTCACATTATAAATAAAAGCCAAAAAAAGCTGATTCTAAAAGAGAGTAGAATAGTGGTAACCAGGGTCAGAAAGGGTTAAGAGACTAGAAGGAAAGGAGACAACTAATGTCAAAGTACAGTTAGATTAGAATAAAAGGGTCCTATAGCACAGTAGTATGACTAAAGTTTATAACTAGAAAAGAATTTGAAGACTCCAAACACAAAGAAATGTTGTATTTCTATTACTAATTCTACCACTAGGATAATTGTACATTTGTATATATGTATTGAATTGCCATCCTGTAAATATTGTGTAATTGTAACCTGTAAATATGTGTGATTATGGGTTGATTATAAAGAAAATAGTGTTAGACTTTAGACTTGTTAATGATCATGCGCAGTAGTATCACCAATTCATCATGAGTAACTAAGGCAGAAGGAGGTACTGTTCTTCCAAAGTGAAATGTGTGCTGTTTTCAAATACTTCTCATTGCAGGCCCTTTGTCCCTTAAGAGATGTGCCTTCTCACAGTAACCATGGAGATCCTTTATCATATTACCAAACTGGTGACATAATTCGAGGTGATCAGTTTCAACATACTAATTAAAAATTTCAAATTAATGTTGAAAATGTAGTTTAATGGAGGTAATGTTTGAAAGGTTTTTTTTTTTTTTTGTTTTTTCACTTTTTTGTTGTGTTTGATCCTTTTTTCTTCTTTAAAGCTGGAATCAAAGATATTGACAGATACCATGAAAAGCTTGCAGTCTCTCTGTATACCTCATCTCTCCCACCACACCTGTCTGGCATCAAACTAGGTGTAATCACTACTGAAGAACTTCCTTTGTACTACAGGTATTTGTCTTTTATCTACTTCTAACAAAGTAGAACTATAATTTTTGTATTATAAAATGGGTTTGTATTTTTATAACCTTTAAATTACTTTAGGTTTGGTAGAAGGAACTATAAAATAATAGTGTACGACTTTAGTGTATTAAAATGGTGTTAGTATTTAGTATTTAAACCTCCTATAATAATGTCTTTAGTAGAACTGGAGTGTGCTAAAAGTTATTGTGCTGATGTGTCTGTGTTTCTGACTTTTTTTTTCTTTTCTTTTTACAAAGGAGGAGTGTTGAACTAAATAGCAATTCTTTGGAATCCTATGAAAATATCATGCAGAGTTCTCTGGGATTTGTTAATCCAGGAGTAGTTGAATTCCTTCTAGAGAAGCTAGGAATAGATGAATCTCATCCACCATCTTTAATGCGAGGCCTACAGAGGTAAAAGAGATCTGCATTCCCTTAAGTGGTAAGGGGACTGGATTAGCTCAGAGCTGTATAGCTGAAGAACATATTTGACCATACCAACAGGAATATGCTGAAGGTTAAATGAAATGAGCAGTCATATCTTCCAATCTGGACTCTAAGCAATGATAGGGATATGCCAGATGGCCAAGAAGTGAAGGGTACAGAAACTTTGTTTATATGCTGAAGAAAAATATTATTTAACGGTAGTATTCATATCTGACAGTTCTAGGACTTTGCTATATAAATGTAATACAAATTCCCTGCTTGAAACTCACCATGTCACTGTTGTATCTACAAGAGACAAAATGAAGTCTATTTTTTTTAAAGTATGTACATTTTTTTACTGTCATTTTCTTTCATAGCAAAAATTTCTCTGAAGATGATTTTGCTTCAGCATTAAGAAAGAAGCAGTCGGCATCTTGGGCTTTAAAATGGTATGGAAATTGTTCTAACAATGGCAATTATCTAGTATGAAAGTTTTGGTCTGTTACACATTCACTCTTTAAGACTAAAATGTTTACAAATGAATGAAAACTTTTTTGACATATTTGTATAGGTATTATATTGGTCTTCCATTGGAATCTTAGCAGACAAGCTTTGTTCAAATTTGTTTTCAAGAAATAATTAGTGTCTTGATACCTGAGTTTAATAAATGTTTGCTGTGAAAACCTATAAGGGCAGGGTACTTTTTAAGTATATTGAGAATAATTTAAAAACTAAATATTTGTCCAATTTAAAGGCCTTGTCTTTTAATGATCATTCATACTAACATTTTATTTAGATATTTGTAAAATATTTGTGATGTTTTACAAATATGTTTTCAGTGTGAAGATTGGGGTCGATTATTTTAAGGTTGGACGCCATGTGGATGCTATGAATGAATACAATAAAGCTCTGGAAATAGACAAACAAAATGTGGAAGCTCTAGTAGCTCGTGGAGCATTGTAAGTGAATTGTGGATGTTAAAGAAATGTTTTTAAGAATGTGAAAAATAGGTAAATAGGTCACAAGATTAAATTTCTCTTAATTTTGTTTAATGTCCCTAGATATGCAACAAAAGGAAGTCTGAACAAAGCAATAGAAGATTTTGAGCTAGCATTAGAAAACTGCCCAACTCACAGGAACGCAAGAAAATACCTCTGCCAGACACTTGTAGAAAGGGGAGGGCAGTAAGTATGGGATTTCATTTAATAGTAAAAGCCAGATGTGCAACCAATTCCTGGAAAACCCTGAGCTTTTTGTAAAGAAGTAGCTTCTTAGCACTCTTTGTTTCAGTTTTGGGTGGTAGGGTTTTTAGAATACAGTCCTTATCCCTTTCCCTGCCTTCTCACTGAGGGAGGGGAGGGGAGGGAGGGAGGGAGGGAGGAAGTGTGTTTGTGTGTGTGTGTTTAGATACTTCAGTGTCTCAGGGTTAATTTCTCTGAATGTTTATTTTTGTTACATAGAAATATAAATAAAAAAGTTCAATAGAATAAGTAAGAGTTCTAGTCCAGAGTTTATATCAGAAGGTTTTGCTCTAATAAAGGACTTGATTTTAAAGTCATTTTAATCATATATAATGTTATGAGTTGAGTGATTTCTAGTAAATTGTGATTAAGATTCTGCTGTTATATTCAGCTTGTAGCTCTGCTCTGATAAATCTTGCAAATTCAGGTTAAATGAAGTTAAGTATTGGGCAGTGTTGCTACACTAGTTTGGCTGCATGAGCCTGGGAGAGTAGAGCCTAAAAGTGAGACAGACTAAAGTCTTATGCAACTTTAATAACTTAGCAGCTTGAATAAACTAAGCCAACTTTATTCAGAACATCAGACACTTTAGAGTCTGAGGGTATTCTGGAGTCGGGCAGGGTCATATGAGTTTAGGCAATATACAGTCACAAGGGCAATCTGAGCTTGGGAACATTTTTGAATAATAAAAGCAAGCAGCAACGTGTAATAATTAAAAGCCACTTAGGATAGTAACATCATTGTGTTATTTGTCTTTTCTTTTTGCAATACTGGGCATGGAACCCAGGGTGTCTTAAACATGCTAAGCAAGCTCTCTACAATGAGCTACATCCTTAGCCCTCTCTCTGCTATTTCTGAAGAAAGATTGATCTCTTCTCTGTCATAATCTGCCTGGCTGTTCTTGTTTGGATGAGCATTCCACCCAAGCATTTGTGGGATGAGAATGCCCATAAGTTCTGAATTGATGAGATTTTAATTAGTGACTGGAGAAGCCTTTTTTATTGTTACTAAGTAAATAACTAGTACCACTGAAATGAGGTGGTCTTATTCCTGGTGCGTTGGTATCTTCCAGCTGAGTGAATGGCTACATTAGCCAGTTAGACAAACACAAGTATTGGTCATGATTATACTTGTCCCTCAGCTCCCACATCCAGTCTCCTGACATAAAAGTACTCATTTGTTTTTCAGTAATAAGTTTTTCCTTCTGTTAACTAGAAAGAAGTATTTGGTAAAGACCTTTTACTGCCCTGTATCCAAACTTTCTTTTTCTATGTAGCCCTGGCTGGCCTGGAACTTGCTAGTTAAACCAGATTAGCCTCAAACTCATCGTAACTTTCTCCTGCTTTGCCTCCCAAGTGCTAGGATAATAGGTGTATGCCACCGCACACACCCAAAACTTCTAATTTATTTTTCATAGCTTAGACTTGTGATTATACAAAAATAATGATTGTAGGTTATTATGAGATCTACAACTGTTTATCAATTTCCAAAGACTTTTTATGGATTTCCAGTTGAAACTTTTTCCATAGAAAGAAAAACTTCATAAACTATTTTTAAAAGCAATTTTATGTAATTCTGTGCTAAACAGCAAAGTCAAAAAAATTTTTAAGACAGCAGCTTATGTATTTTCCTGTATTTCTATTTTTCTAAGGAAAAGTATCTGTATTGTTTAGGAACTAGTAATGAATTTTCATTTAAGTCATCTTTTTAATAATTATATACATGAGAAGGTAATTAGAAAATAATTTGCTATATTTACTTCAAATAAGTTCTGTCATAAGCCTCTGATGACTTCTGTGTGTATTTAAATCTATTTTTATAAAAAGATGAATCTTCTGAATTTAGGTTAGAAGAAGAAGAAAAGTTTTTAAATGCTGAAAGTTACTATAAGAAAGCTCTGGCTTTGGATGAGACTTTTAAAGATGCAGAGGATGCTTTGCAGAAACTTCATAAGTATATGCAGGTGATTCTTTATTTCCTCTTTGAAATTTAATGGTTTTTAAAATTAATACCAAATGTCATTTTCTTTTCAGAAAAACTAGGTTACCTAGGTATGAAATATTATGAAAAGGAATAGCTTTTCCTAATTGGGTCTGCATTGCATTATAGTACCACGGCTTTTTTGTTTGTAATCAAAAGTATAAAATAGCCTTATAAGAAAATATCTATACTTAAATTCAGTGTGTGATTTTGATATTTCCCCTTTGTAGAGAGCTTACCTGGTGGTTGTAAAATTATAAGTATTGCTATTATAATTGAACTAATTATGCAGACCTTTGTAGACTTTTGCTTGTCCTTTCCTGTAATACTGATGATGATGTTTTCTCATGCATTTTCTTCTGAATTGGACCATTGCTGCTGTGTCTGTGACATCTGGTGCTGCTCATCCCCATCCACAAACTGGAAAATGATTTCTTATGTAATCATGCATCCAACTGGGCTGTGCTATTTTTAAAATGGTTTGTATTTGTACATGGTGATTTTCCCCTCAATTCACCTCTGTGAAATGTCCTTATTTGAATTTTATTTGTAAATTTGTGTCCTGTTTACATTTTTCAATTTATATAAATGGTTTTTCATATTTTTTATCTTACTTGCATTCTGGGTCATTGATACTACTGCAATGGCTTCCCTGTTTTTCCTGGGATACCAACTGCAATATGGTCCTCAATACTGTTCTGGCCATTCAAATGATTAATGCCAAACTTGTGTCCTTAATTTTTTTATTTGGAAAAATACAACTTGTTTAATACTGGCTGTATGGTGATTTGGTAATACTAAATTGGGTTTCTGGTTGGGGGGGGCGGTTTTTAAATACTGTCTTTACCATATTCTGCTATTTTTATTTTTAACGTCTGGTTTTTTCCGATATCTGGGTTCTAAAAGAAATCTTTGGAATTAAGAGAAAAACAAGCTGAAAAGGAAGAAAAGCAGAAAACAAAGAAAATAGAAACAAGTGCAGAAAAGTTGCGTAAGCTCTTAAAAGAGGAGAAAAGGTAAACTATAATATTCAGTATTTTTAAACTTAAAAGCAACTACTGAGTTGAACCCAAAGTGCCATATGGAGGTAAAGTAAGTAAAAGCATCCCAAATGATTATTCTTAGCAAGCATATGTTCCATGTGTTAAGAAATTAAGCAAAGTAGATTTTAAGGCTGAAATTCTTTTTTAAAAATTATTATTAAAATACAAAATAAGTGATTTGAACTATTTCTAGGAGATAGGCTTTTAGAAGAGGAGCCATGATTTTTAGATCCTGGTGGCCTTGTTCTCTAGATATTGTAAGTTGTGGAAAAGTATTAACATAAGTGTGTAGAGAACATCAGCATCCTGTTTATAAGCATACTGCAGTGCATGGGCAGTCCACTCCTAACTTCACTAAAGAACTGTTTGGCCCCAAAATGTTAGTAGGGCTGAAGGGGAACAGGATGAAGCTAGAGATAGCTAAATAGAAAACTCAGGCTGCTTCTTACATGTTCAGATAGGTGTAAGCAACACTGGGAAAGTCACTGTATCTTTCACAAGACCTAGGTTTGCTTATAGTAACATCTGTCTCTATAGCTGTTCTCAAAAGTCATGCTTCATGGTAAAATTTGATGCTATAATTTAGACTGTTAATGTTTGAGAGACAGCTAATAGAACATCTTCAAGTGACACAAAATAGGGTCAAATCGTGAGGAATACTTGACTGATATTTTTGTACTTAATATGTCTGATGAGCCAACTACTTTTTTTAAGGCTAAAGAAGAAAAGAAGAAAATCATCATCTTCCTCTTCAAGTGTTTCTTCTGCTGATGAATCCGTTTCCTCTTCCTCATCTTCTTCCTCTTCTAGTCACAAACGGCATAAGAAAAATAAGAGGAGTCGTTCAGAGTCTTCTCGCAGTTCAAAGAGGCACTGGCCTAGGACATCTTCAGGTCACATCGATCAGAATAGGAAAGATGATTGCTACCCAGTTCCAACTAATACTTCAGCATCTTTCCTTAATCAAAAACAAGAAGTAGAGAAACTGCTGGAAAAGCAGGATAAGTGTTCAAATGCACAGGTAAAAGAGAAAGAGAAATGCCTTCTCACATCTTCAGTTGAAGTACCAGATGATTTGGGAGGTAGGTCAGATCTTTACAATAGCTATAAAACCCAGGCAGGTACTAGCAAAACTGAAAAGCCATATAAGTCAGAAAGACATTTCTCCAGTAGGAGAAATTCCTCAGATTCATTCTCGAGAAATTCAGAGGACAAGATGAAAGCATCTAGTTACCGGAGATTTGAAAAAGACACAGAGGGAAGAAAAGATTACTCCAGGAGGTGGGAGCCAAGTTCTGGGAAGTACTCCACTTCACCAGCAAGTTTGGACTACTCTTGGAAGTCACTTGAAAAACACAAAAAATGCACTTACTCTGGACCACATGCACATGATGTTGGTAGACATGAGCAGCGATGCCAGGTAAACACAAATCAGGGAGAACATGCATATGAAAAGGGGGACAGTTGTGGGGAGAGTAACAAAACTGAGGCTCCAGAAGAGACACTGAATAGCAAAGAGCAATCAGAAAGCAGGGTTAAGAAAAATTTACCTCAAAATTTACTCAATATATTTAATCAGATAGCTGAATTTGAGAAAGAAAAAGGAAGTAAGCCCAAAAAGTGATCTGCAAAGGAAGTTTTTAGAAGTTTGAGATGCTTTAGTGCTATAACAGTTCTGAGTCTAAAATTATTTGTAGCGGATTACAAGAAGCTCAGTTTTGTTTAAGTTGCCAGCCCCTTTGTCAGTCAGTGTGGCCGGTATGTGGATACAGCTTTTAACTGTGACAAGTCAAACTCTCACCTACAGATACTTTCTGAGCACTTTGTTTCTTCATTGTATTGTGGTTTGTGAGAATCCTGGCCTATCATATCTCACTGTTGGAGAAAAATGTTTGCATTGAACATTTGGATTGTTTATCAAAAAATATTTTGTTCTGTGTTTTTGTTAAAAGCCCTTAGCTTTTGGTTGAATGTTCCTTGGTACTATTTTAAATCATTTGTTTTTGGTATTAAATTTTTGTACCATTTTATTTTTAAGTGATAAATTATGACTTGAGTTACCTCTAAAGCTTTATGTAAGTGGTTTGTGAACATTGTTTCTTCCCAGCTTAACAAAATACCATAAGAATAAGACCTTGAAAAGTGGTTGCTTAATCAGAGTCTGTTTTCTTATTTCTCCAGTATTATCTTTACTTAATGGTTATAGTCATAAGAAAATTTTTAACTTTAAATATTGACAAAAGCCTTCTAGAATTCTAGACAAGACTAGATGAGAATAGAATATAACTGTTAGTGAAAATAGCAACAGAGAAGCACCCTATAAATCTGGTTTTCTTCTGTCGTAATATTGCAAATGCTTGAGGAGTCAATAGGTATGTTTCTGAGTAGCAGAGGGCTGCCTTGTGGTTTTACTTTTCTTCTTATCTGTCACTTTCCTCCTTTATTGATGCCTTTCTCTGATTCCTAGTGAATACCACAGAGTAAATCCCAGGCCTGTGAGATGCCTCAGTGGGTAAAAGTACCATCCTAGTCTGATAACCTGAGTCCAGTCCCAATACCCCATAGCGTATGGAGAGAACTGGCTCCCAAAGCTTGTCCGCTGGCAGCCAGACACACAAACACAGCACCGTGTGTGTACCTACACACACAAACAGCTAAAAAAAACCATCCTGCACATTCAAAGAACCTCTCTGATTTACTAAAAACTGAGCAGTAGACTTCTGGAGATTTTAGTAGGTATCATAGCTGCTGCACTTCCAGTGCTCTTAAATTAGGGTTCTAGAAAATGAAAATGGCAGTTAGCTTTAAATCCTCATTGCCACTAGATTTACCCGCAGACATACATGAGGAAGTGGCAGAAATAGAAGAGACGCATTGCATGTTGGTTTCAACCGGGGAAATACTAAAGCTTTAATGCTGAACTGTACTATTTGTACCAAATTATAGTGGTGGAAAACTACTGTAAAATCTGAAACTTGTTTTATAGTATAATAGAGGAAAAAAAAAACCTTAAGACCAATAAGTAATGTCAGCATAAATTGCATAATCACTTCAACATTAGTTTTTGCACCAAGGAACTTTTTATTATTATTATTATTATGGGGGGCCAGAGCAAGGGCGGTGATTATGTGTGCCACATACATGTAGGTTGGAGGTCAACTTGAAAGAGTTTCTTCTTCACCTAATGGGTCCCAGGAAAGAAACTTGGACTTGACAGCAAGTACCTCTATCTACTGAGCCATTTTGCTAGCCCAGTACCAAGAAATTCTTAAAGAATACTGTATGCTTAACTGGGAGGTGGGGGAGAGTTATTGTTAAGAGTGAAAACTACCTCCCTACACACCCCTTGATCCTTGAGAATCTCTAGTGCACCTTATAACCTTGCACGTATCATCTTACATAACCCTTAGGGTAGAGCCTTGTGGGGTAAGCTACCAGAATTTAGAAAGTATGTCTTTTCCTAGGACATACTAATTTAAGCAAACTACGCTAGTGTGAGCATCCAGTTCCTTGGGATATTTAAGGAGTCATCTCAGGAAAAAATATCGGAGATTTAAATTGATCCTAAGTGATGTCCTCAGGTAGTTTCTTTCACATTAATATATCCATAGTTTGTATGTACCCTGGCTAGAGTTATCTTGGTTCCCATGAGAAGAACTGTGGATTCGGACTGTTAACTCCAGATCTGCAAACAGAGGAGTAATCCTTTGTCTTACCATTAGCATTATTACATGTAGTTAGTATAGTGATTAAATGTAAACTTGGATGCTGGTCATTCCAGAAGTGACTCCAATAGGTAGAAGCTAGCTCTGTACGTGCAGTTACAACGTTCAAGGTCAGTGTGGTTTGCTTATATGTTATTTATGTGTTACTTTAAAAAGCCTGTGTTAATCATCTCTGTATTACAAGAAAATACATAGAAAAGCATTCTCCCTAGCAAGAAACAAAACCTTGCCTTCGTCGAACAAAGTTTAATTTTTTAAGTTCCAAGTAACTTACAAACTAATAATACATGACTGAGAATCAAAACATTGATAAACAAAATTATGATAGTATTAATCAGTTTTAGATCTTAAACATGTCATGCATTTAGGCAACGTTTCAACCAAAAAGTGCCCATGGTTTTCTTAGGCTTTTTAGCTACTAGAATTAACTATACCTTCCTATTTCTAAATTAAAGGTGATCATTAGTAGAAACAGACAACCACAACTGCTTTTTCAGAAGTAACTGAGCAGTGGTTCTACGATTGTTTACAACAATCACTGTTGTAGTGAATACTTTTCCAAGATTTAAAGGAGATGCTGATTACATACCGTAATGCTAATGTATTTGAAATCTAGCTTTATAGTAGTATTTCCCACTCTAGTCCAAAAAGTTCAAAGTGCTGGAAATAAAGTATTAGGTGGAAAAAGCAATTTTAAATATAGTATGCAATACATCCCTCAAGTGTAAATGTAATATATTCAGTTCTTTCAAGGTCAGAATAGAAGCATTGTAGCAGCTTACATTGTACTTTATGCAAGCATATATAGAGATAAATGTATATGTAACCACATACACATGTACAGTGTTTTTCTTGCTAAATGTTTTCTTGAGGGAGTGGTGATGATGCTATATTTGGCTACATATTATAACCAAAACAAACTAACAGCCTTTAGCAGCAGGTCCACCCCACCTCCAAAAAAAAAAGAATCTGAGGATGGGATTGTTTGCTTTTTAAATTTTTTTTAAAGTAATTTTGTAATCTAGAGTAAATGAAAATTTCTTAATTGAGATATAGACTAAATCTTATTCATGAGAGAATATTTGTTACTTCATAAAACATCTAACTGCAGACATCAGTGCTTTAACATGTGGCCTGGCTAAGGTTCTGCAGTGTTCCTTCTCTATAAATAAAGCAGTGGGGAAGAGAGAAAACTTCCTTTGTTCTTTTCTCAAACAGTTCTTATAGCCACTGTGCACAACTTTTTTCTAGTCTGTACTTCTGGTACTATTTTAGTAGGTCTGTACTGTTAATAAATGGAACCTGGAAAAGAAGGGGGACTTAAAAATTAATGAGATTTTCATTTGTGTTCAAATTTTGTACAAGAGGCTTAAAAAAAAAAAAGCTTATTTGCTGGGCTTTTTTCCTTTAGGCATGCTGGAGTTACTGCCATTATTAGGTGCCCTTGGACTGTTGCTTTCTGGCTGGGACTCTAACAAGCTTTGCTGTACCGTGTCATCTGTAGCTGAAGAGGTAGAACTTTCAAGCGACCTAGAACAAGAAAGGATTTACTATAAACTTAATGCAAAATGTACTTTAAATAGACGACCCTTTATTGGCAAAAGTATTTAATTCCATAAGTAATTAAAGAACTAGAAAAGCCACTAGTTTTAAAATTTTTTAAGAATTATTTCTTTTGAAAGGATAAGTATTTAAGTAAACAGTTCAGTAATATTTTCTATGAGAAAAATATTTTCAACTGTAATGAGTTTCTTAAAATTGGAAGCAATTGTAAGATGGCAACAAAGGGAGGAGCAGGTGCTTAAAAATGATAAAATGATTGTCTTAACTGAAACTAGAGAGGAAAGTGGGGTGTGTTGGCATGAAAAATGGTGAGATCATTTTAAAAATAGCCATTCAGTTCTGAAATAATGTTTTTATAAAAAGTATGGAAATATTTTAATATATTTATGTAGGGTTTTTTTTTTAAGGTTAAAATGCTGTCTTTGAGGATCTCCTTTTTTTCATAAGACAGTCACACAGACTAATAAAAACTGTTAAATAGCTCTCAACTATAGGAGATTAGCAATAATAAAATCAGCGTTATCATTAATAAGCCTATCCACAAAGAGTTAGTGTCCATGACTTACCCCTACTGAGAGATTTCTGGGTTGCATTAAGCTAAGTAAAACATCATAAATACAAGCTGGTTCCATGGAATTTCACAGAAGCAGCTATAATTACAAAATTAATTGTTCATGTAACTTGCCCTTTTACAGTTTAAAAAGATTAATTTCCTCAGAGTTGGAGTTTGGCCAAAATGTTTGTTGTGTCACCCCAATTTCAGCTAACTTTGTTCCCTAAAATAGATTCTTAGATTCTTAGTTACAGTGTCTGTGTCATAATAGAGTGTTGGCAGCCGCAGGAGTCTTGCTGTGCTGTGTGTCTGTGTAGGGAGGTTGCTGAAGGTGAACACTGTGGGTGCTGGCCAGCAGCAGCTGTGAGAGTGGAGAACCCACTTCTCTTACCTGACTGATGAAAATGAAGACTGTGAAGAAGATGCAGAGCTTGGGACTTTAGGTGTAGGTAGTTCTAACCCATTCTGAAAGAAGATTTTAATCATTAGTCCTACACATTTTGAAGAAGATGATACACAGACTTACTATATTATATTTTTATTACCTGCTCAAAGTATACTCGAAGAACAACATGGATTTCAGCATTTTCCATGACATTAAGTAACATTTGCTCAATGTCCTTGTGAAAGTGTTTAATCTCACGGAGTTTAATATCTTGTTCTTCCGGTGTTTCCTCATTTGTTTCTTTCAAAATGCGGATTTCTCTTTTGAGTCTTACACACTGTTAATGAACAGCAGTCAAGCATTACATAAGCCTGTTTTCCACAAGTTAAGCAAAGGAAGCTTGGGTCCATTTGGGACTTGAGATGTGACTACTAGGGTCATGTCAGTACCTGCTTAATTACTCGCTCTAATTTGGGCTTCTGCTCCTCAGTCTCCTTACGAAGTTGAAGTGAATAGGCTTGTTTCTCTGCTAATTTCTCTTCGGCATTATTTGCTAGGTGTTCTATAACTTCCAAAGTGTTTTCCATGCTCTGTAGAAAATAAAAAGTATAAACATACTCATGGTCAGAATAAAAAAATTGACTTACTGCTTGCCATTTGCCAGCTGTTCCCTCAATTTGAATTATTGTTTTCCTATATATGTACTATATTTACTGTATTAGTAGATATGAAGTATATTGATCCTGTGAATTGGTTTTGAATATAATTCCTTTTATAGCAGTTGGAAAAAAATAGAAACAATTACTTGGATACCCAGTTTTCAGATATTCACAATTTGTTTCATCCATCACTTCCTTTAGCTAGGACCCACTTAGCAAAGCACATTGTCCTGTCTTCAGTGGCTTGCTTTAGTGGTTACTTTCACTAGATTTTCTGTTTTAAACTTTGTGTTTAAAATCATGATGAGAATTTTAAGGAATTCAGTGAGGTCACTAAGTAATAAGTCGTAATTGTCTAGCTGTGGGTGACAACTAATAAAGTTGTTGCCTCCCTGCAATAGGATTTTAACTGATTTGCTTTATATTTCCTTCCCTTGTTTTTCTTCTTTAAACGAGGTTTATGTTTCTAATGGCCTACTTCCCTAAAGATACACTTTATGCAAGATTAAGTAGTAATGATAGTAGTTGACCTTTATTTAGGGATTATTACAAGAGTTTAGATTCACCTGGATGTCTTCTTGAAGTTCTCTGATTTGCCTTTGTTTGTATCTGTATTTCTCATCCGCAGTCCTTTTTTGTTCTTCTAGTTGAATTTTTAATCCATATTCATCACCTATAAAAGAATTTTAATTTCTAATATAATATATAGAAAGCTACCTTAAAGTAGTAAAGAAATAAACCTAACTTTTTTGTTATAAAAGGGTACATGTCCTAGATTCATGTGAAAAACACAGTATAGACATGTATAAGCCATTTCTTATTTAGTCAGCCTATAGTAGTAATATATATTTTCCAGATTCAACACAAATTCCCTAAAGAAAATGCCATATACAAAATAATAATAATAATGTAAATAACATCTCATACTGACTAAAACAAATAGGAACATAAATGATTTTTTTAGGTCCAGTCTTGACACACTTTTATTCTCCATGAATCATAACGTTCCTCCTCTACATTTATTTAACTGTAGTCTTTATCACATTGTTTGTAATGGCTGCTACATACTTGATGGTGTCACTTTTTTGAAAGATTGCTTATAATTGTTGTTGCAGCTGTTCAGTACTTGCAAGGTGTTTTGCAGTGCATAGATTTCTTTTTCAGCTTTGTTGATCTTAGCATCCAAGCTGTCACCTTGCCTTTGAAGTTCTTCTTTTTCCTGAGCAGCCTATAAAATGCAGAATGGAGCTAAAGTTATTTGTCACAGTAGATATTGCTTTGAAGCAGAAAATACTTAATTCACAGCAATCTCTGCTCACCTTAGGGCCTGAACATGCTTGCCAGGTATCTACTTCTTGCACTCAGATTCATAAACAAGACCAAATCTTTAGGCTTTAAAATACAGCATATATAGGATACAAAACTATGTTGGAAATATAGCCAGCCTAAAATACCAGGAGGAAGGGATGAAGGGAGCTAAGCAGCTACCAGATTTCTGGGATGAGTCAAAAGGGTAACTTTGGACTCTGGTGACTCAAAAGGTCTTGAAACTAAGAATGTTTTCATCTGAGAGGTTTGGGAACCCGATTCTTACTTGATTGAGATACAGGTAAAAAGGGACCAGAGTTATGTTCAGGAAAACAGTGTGGCTATATTTTCTAATACATTTATCACAAATTAAAAGATAAATTGGGGCTCTTCCAGAGGGGACCCAAGTCTGCTTCCCCATACCCACATCATGCAGATCATAACCACCTGTAACTCCAGTTTATTCTTAAATTAGTTTAATTTGTTCATCTTTACAAATTCCTGACTTTTTGTAGTTGTGTCTTTACATTCTAAAATAATTGTTCCTGCTCTTGGTACAATATCAGATTTTATAAATAACATCAGATGTTATATTTAGATAATGTAGACTTTTTGGGGCGTTGGGAAAGTTGGTATTTTGAAACAGTTACAACTTTTTAATATCTCACTTCATTGGACAGTATAACTCAAATTTGGTCAGAACAAGACTGTTGGCTTAAAAAAAAGCCAATTGGGAATGACGTGTGAGGATGCTAGTTCTTTGGTATCTTTTTTCAGTTTTGCTTTTAAGTAGAATTAGACATTAAAGTTAAAACATGGAAAACAACCTGGTATGTTCCACACATAGGCCAAAGGCTACTGCAGGACCAACACCAGGAGCTACTGTGGCCACGAATATGCTGACATCCTAACACCTAGGAACATGGTGTGACCTCATTCAGAAGTCAGGTCTTTGCAGATGTCAAGATGAGGTTACTATGTCAGGCCTCAATACAACAGGACTAACATCCCTACAAAAACAGACACTACTTTTCTCCGTGCTCAGCCACGGATAATTTCTGTTAAAAGCTAAACTAAGTTTAGTTACAGAGAAACACTTTGCATGTTTGAGATGTGAAGTATGAATATATGTATTTAATAATATGTAGTGAATGAATATATTTAATGCAATCATAAGATGTACATCAAGTAAATGGTACCTTTATTACGTAATAGGCCTGTGTTTTCTCCTCTTCTCCTTCAGGAGGCAGCATAACAACAGTGAGAATTTCATATCTGTTCTTCAGCTTTTCAATTTTACTTAACCGTTCTTGCAATTCAGTACTAATATGAAAAGAAAGAAATTAGAAATTAGTGTTTTTATTAAAGACCTTTGGACTTGTATTATTATTGTCCTCAAGCAGCTTAAAGTGTTCTCCTGTTTTAATAATTCTGTGTGAAGGTCTCAGAGTTTACCCTACTTGAACAAGCTGGCTTGTCAGGTCCTTGGATGCTAGTAGAAGACATGAGAGGCTATTGTAACAGAAATGACACAGGAAGGAGCTTCCAGTCTGCATGGTTTTCTCCCACATCTCATGAGGACAAGAAGGGACCCGGATACTACACAAATAGTAGATTTATGTTACAGTTAGGAACCCCAGATATCTTCAAGCAGGAGATAAGCAAACAGCTAACTTGCTCTAAAGGGAAAAATGACCTTTCACTTGCTATTCAAACAGTAGAACAAGAAGGTAGTATCTCTATCTCTCTACAAAGCATTAAAAGAATTCATTTCCCAACATTTGTTGTCAGATTCTTAAATGGTAGTTACCGTCTCCTTTTGTTTCAGTAAACTTTTATGAGCTATTTTCAGGACTTTTAGTAATACTAGTAATGGTGATATCTGCATGGCAGGATGGAGATTGACCCACCTGCTGTAACCTAGTGAAAGTAAACCACTTGATCAGCTTAAAAAGAAGTCTAAACCTACCATCTTCTAGAAGAAGCTGGTGGTAAGACATTTAGAATCAAAACTTGGCTTTTTAGAATTTTTAATTATTCTATCAGAACATGTTCAGTCTTGTGTGATCATAACTAACTTTCTCATCAGCTAAGGATGGCAGTCTAAGCAGAAGTTCCTTCTTGCACCTCTCTAAACAAAAGCCAGGTATGGTAGCAAACACCATTAATCCTCCTCCTTGGGAAGCTGATGCAAGACTCTGAGGCCAAAGTCAGCCTGAGCTAGGTATTAATACTCAGTCTCAAAAATTATATATATATAGTTTTATATATAGTTTTTTATATATATTTATATATATATATAAAACTATATTATATATATAATTTTTTTTAAGAAAGGGAAGCAAGAAAGGAAACATGCTTTGGGAACAAGAAAAATATCTTCATGAGTTCATGAAAAAGATGCAAAGCAAGATTAAACAAAAATAGATACATGTAACATTACTGTAACATTATTACAAAGAAGAAAATATATTTTATAAAAGCTGAATCAAGCTGGGTAGTAGTGGTGGTGAATACCTTTAATCCCAGCACTCAGGTGGCAGAGGCAGGCAGATCTCTTGAGTTCAAGGCCAGCCTGCTCTACAGAGGAAGTTACAGGACAGCCAGAGCTACACAAAAACCCTGTCCTCTGTCTTGAAAAAACAAACCCTGGATCAAATAGAAACCTAAAGTACAATTTTGAAACAATAAATTGAATCATCAGTTGAATACTCCACATCAGAAAATTCAACACTGCCCCCAATGACTTCATCAAGGAGGTCTTTGAATAGACTGAAGAAAAAAAAAAAGTTATTTTGCAAACTTAACCAGAATAGAGAAACCTAAGAAACATTATTTTATGAAGTTATACACACTGTAAAACCTGGTGATAAGAGCAAAGGGAGCCAAGGATCGTTTGTTAAAAATGCATAAAATACTATCAAAATCCAGAGTACACAAAAATAAGTTGACTAACTCCGGAAATAAATGAGGTCGGTAAACACAGAAGTATATAATAAAAGTTAATGTACGTGCCCAGTTAATAAAATTGAACCAAAATGTCAGCAAAGTAAAAATAGATGGGCTCTTTTAATATGGTGAAGGTCTCTCCAAACAGGGCTGAGGCATGGAGTTCAGCTTGCCTAGCACATATGAAGCCCTTGTTTAAAGTCCCAACACCACAAAAAGTAAACAATTTAATTGGACTACAAAAGCTCTTATAGTTAATTTTACAGTAAGAAAACCTTCCCCTTTGAGATCAGGCAGATACAAAGGTATCTGCAATTACTATTTTTTCAGTATTGAACTAAAGGTCTTAGCAAGTACAGTAAAGAAAAAAGCTGTATAGCTTGGAAAGAAGCAAAACTATCCAAAAATGTGAGGAGTGTCCAAAAAATTAGTGTCTGTATGCATACTGTTAAAACTACAACCTTAGTGAGAATGTGCAATACTTAATACATAGAAATTATCTGTGATATTCCTATAATACCCATAACCAATCAAAGATGGCATGCTTTAAAAGGAGTTAGTATTAACAAAAATAACATATGGCCAGAGATAATCTCATAAATGATATTAAAGCATCTGCAAGATAGTTGCTTCAGTAAGCATACCGTTAGGACTAGATAAGGGAACTCTTTAGTAGACTTGGTGGTGTGAGTTAGCTGTTTTGTTTTTAGAAATCACATGAAAAATAATAATTTTAAAGGCCCGGATTTGGCAAAGTGCTTGTCTTCCAAGCATAAGGACCCAAGTTGACCCCAGAATCTATACAGAAATGTCAGGTATAGTTCTAGGAACCTGTAGTCCCAGCACTGTGAAGATGCTAACAGGAAGATCTCTGGTGATCACTGGCCAGCCAGACCAGCCTAACTGGCCCAGTGACAGACTTGTCTCATGTGAGGACATTCCTGGAGGTGACCCCTGAGAGTATCCTCTGGCCTCCACTTGCAGGCATGCTCACAGGCATTGCATATACATATACAGGAATACGTATGCATTTAAAAATAAATTCAAATAGACTACTGATCTTTATAGGGATGTGCCTCAAGGATACAGGATGAAACAAAAGGAAGCATCTAGACTTGCAGCTCTATCTTACACTCAAGTCAGAAGACTTTTAGATGAGTCAGGCAAAGGTAGATATGAGGGTGGTGTCGGGGAACAGGTAATTATCTTGACATTGTTTTGCAAAGTTCTTTAGCAGAGGAAAAACAACAACAACAAAAAAAAAATTACTTCACAGTTTGCCGCTGCTGGTCAGCATATCTTATCTGTGCGCTAAGCATGGATTTGTGCACCTTAATTTCTTCAGCTCTTTCTTCCATGGCTGTGCACAGCTCCTGTTTCCTTTTTTCTAGGGAATGGACTTCCTCTGCCCTGCTGTGAAGCATTTCTCGAGTGCGTTTAACCTCCAGTTTTAAAAGATTGTCGTCAATCATCAAATCCTGCCAACATAACAAAAGTTTCATGTATTGAAATAGGTATTTCCATGCCAAAACCAAGGTATTTTTCTTTTTTACTGTGACAGAAGTCACACTTTAAAAAAACATACATTTTAGACCAATTAGACCACTGACTGATATCAGCCAGGAAAAAAGACAAGAGTGTGGAGCTATGACTGTTCCAAACCATTTTTAATAATTCAAATTTAAGTTCAAACCTTACTAGAATATAGTAATTCCCACAATCAAAATGTCCTACAAACATTTTTATACTCCAAAGTATCTTTCACAAAATACTGTAGAAATATGTCTATAGTTTTAAACCGTTTTGTCATGTGTAAAGTATTGCATAGAAGCCATCAAATCAATTGACTTTCCAATGAAACAACATAGAACAAACAGCCTGGAGTGTAAAGCAGGCTGTTTCCCTGCACAGCTTTCAGGTGAAGAGATGACATCCCTACATCTCACATGCACAGAAAGATGCTCCTGATGAATGAGAAAACAATGCAACAGACAAAAATCAATGGAACCAGCAGAAAAAGCAACCCCTTGTACGATTTTAGCACAAGCTCATAAGTATAAACAGTATAGAGTAAAAGCCCTGAGACTTAATGTTAAATGGTTTATGTAAAAAGCACTCTAGGAAATTTTAAAGGCAAATGGGAAAATATTGGCAATATCAAAGAGTTAATAACAAAATAATTTATAAATCAATTAAAAAGTGAAAATATGAGCCCTTAAATGGAAAAAATGGACCAAGAATATAAACTGGCTATTCAAAAACAAAAACAAAAAATGGAACACAATACAATGTTTTAGATATAAATATTTTAAACTTTAAAGAAATGCTTCTGAGTAAAAAGTACAAACTAAAATAATGAGATTACATATTTTTCCATCATGTTAGAAACATGATCCAGCCACAGTGGTGGTAAAATAAGTAGAGTGTTAAGCATGGCTGGTGGAAGACGATTAATGAAACTGTCTATTTGGCTTAAATAATAGTTTTGTGTCCTTAAAATACCCATTTCAACTTAATTACATTGATAGGAATTACTCTGAGCAACTAACTAGCAACTGTACAATATACTGTGGACCATAGCACTTATCAGAACATCAGAAACAAACAGCCCCAGACCACAAGATACTTAAATAGATTATGCTAAGCTCATAAACTGTCCCCATAGGAAGTACTGGAGAATTACTTTTTAAAGAAGAGTTGATGTTATAGGAAGCACATATCAAAACATTTGAAAATACAACATATAATAAAGAATTTTTTTAATAGGAAATAATATACGCATTAAACTCTTAATCTTGGATACAGTGGTTATCGTGGCTGATTTCCTCCTTAATTACTTCCTTGTTTTACATTCTCCTATGATTTCCATGGAAGCATGTGGCTTATCAACTATGTACGCAGATTCAGCACACCTGTTTCATAGCTCTGGTTTTGTTCAATTCCTTCTCTGATCTGTCAACAAAAAGGCGCAGTTCACTTATTTTACTCATGAGAGACTGTTTCTCATCATTGTTTTTACTGGCTGACTTCTTAATGAAGTAGAGGTCATTCTGTAAAAAAGAAGGGAAGGTATATATGTTTTAAACAGTTAAATGAATTGCAACAGATATGCCTTGCACTAAGAATTTCGACCTCAGATCATTTTAAATATTCACATGGGTTCACACAGAAGCATTGTAATTTTTATCATTAATGGTTTGGGGTTAGCCTCAAAGCAATAATTCTAAGAAGTATTATGTGTGACTCCAATTTGGCCTGGTGTTCAAGGTGCTCATTGCTCAGGAGGGAAAAGGACCCTGCTAATAACTCATCACAGGGCACCAGGTGCTGGGTGGTAAAAATACTGAGGGTCTGAAGAGCACAGGACTATTGGCCAACAGAATGGCTCTGGGCCCAGGTCGCCTAATCCACATTAGTCATCTGACTCTGGTGGGAAGCTAACTTGTCAGTTTCCTCATCTTTGAAGTGGGAATGAGATTGTTGTGAAATTAGGGACGTTGCTATGACAGTGTTCACAGGCAGTATATGCCTGTGAACATAGCTGCTTTATGTGATCACATCTGCCAGGGGGAAAATACTTGATAAGATTGAACTTCATCAGAAACATAGATCCAGTCTTAGAGCCAGATGCCACTTCTCTAGTTTTAGGAATCTATCTTCCTGTTCAGGAATTTACCTATGTAATGTTAGTACCTACTTGGTTCCTGAATCAGATTTTCTAATTCTAAGATATTATTCATATTCCTTTCTACTTCCCCATCCTCTCTTCTCTGCCTTTATCATTGTTTATATTTCTCTTAAGTATCAAGACCTAAGATTGCAACCAAATCATAAGAGGAGGAAAAGCTTTGTTGACTTCATAAAGTTACCTCTAGGACAAAACAATGAAGTTAATGTCATCTGTGGGACAGCTAGATGGCTCCGAGGGAAAAGGTGCATGCTAGCTAAAGATTCAAGCCATGAACTAAGTTCAAGTCCTAGATTCTATGTAAAGGCGGACAGAGAAAATTGATGCTACAAGACTGTTTCTCTGACCTCCACATAAACAGAGGGGCACACACATCACAGATAACAAAACTATCAACAACATTTCAGCCTGAGGTTGGTTTCCCTGCTGGAAGGTAAGAGCTGGAGTAGAGGAGACCCCACTCACCCACAGAAGCCCTCGGCTTGACCACTGGTGAAAAAAGCATACCTCCGTGGTTTAACCACCTTTAACCTGGAATTCACTTACATTTCTGTGAGTATGTGTGTAAAACAGAGCTGGAATGGGCATGTGCACCAGCCAGCTTCATAGTGGTGAGAACAGCTGGAGGTGGTTAAGGACATGAAGACCACTGGGGGCTCCCCACAACGTGCAGCTAAAAAGCCTTCTCCTCATGAAGCTTCACAATCATGTATTCGTATTCTACTCCAAATGATCAACAGCACTGCGTGTGAATAAGACCCAGAGTGCATTGCTTCTGCTTTTTCCCTTCTTGTTATCGAATGAGAAAACTAGCACGCGGGAACGTTAAAATAGCAATAGCCATGTTACCTGGACATTCAGGCGTGCACTTGATCCCAAAGCCAGTGCCGTTTTCCAGAAAATCAAGGTACCACTGAAAACTATGTCATCAAGCTACAAACCATGAAGTCCAATCAAAAGCTGTCGTTAAAATTTCATGTCCTTCTCGCAAGTAATTTGCGGCAATTCTACTTAGGACCACTAGAGGCCACTCATCACCAGCCTTTCTAACCTGCCCAGTGCTGACCCGGTGAGGGTCCATCCCCCTCATCCTTGGCTCTTTCTCATAATTTAAACTTTAATTGATGTTTATCTTACACAAACATAATCAAACCCTGAAAAGTGCAAAATTTCTTCCGTCTTACTGTAGTTGTTTAGCTGTATAGTTGAGTGGGAACAAATTAGACATTTTTTAAAAAGCTTCTTGATAGCCCTTCAAAGATAAAATTCAGTTACTGTGGCAAAAAGTGTGCTTTCCCAATATAGTTTTTGTTGTTTTTATTGTTTGGTTTTTTTGTTTGTTTTTCGAGACAGGGTTTCTCTGTGTATCCTTGGCTGTCCTAGACTCGCTTTGTAGACCAGGCTGGCCTTGAATTCACAGAGATCCGCCTGCCTCCTCTGCCTCCCTGAGTGCTGGGATTGTAGGTGTGCACCACTCTGCCCGGCATTTTTTTTCCCCAATATTCTTAAACAGTGTTCTAAGAATTCTTTGAAGTCAAATGGATGAGAGTTCAAACCCTATCTCTCCATACACTCACTGTACAACCCTGAACGAACGTCTTAGCCTTAGCCTACTGTAAGGGCAATCATCTTCTTTAGAAGAGATTTATGAGAGCTAAGCTAAACCACATGGTAAGAACATGACCCAACAGTTGTACAGAGTAAATGCTCGAGTGAGCAACATGACATTCTGAAAGCACGGACACACAAGCATTTCTTATGTGTGTGGGTAGCTGGGAAATCACTCTGTCCACAGCGGGAACATGATGAACACTCAGTAGCATGTGAAAACCACATGAGAAAGATGAGTTACATGGAGCTTCTTGATCTGCACTTCCAAAAGGGAAAGCGTGGACTTTTTCTCATCCAGTGACTTCTTAAGTTCAAGGATTTTTGTTTCAAGGGTTTGCTTCTCCTCTGAATTAATTTCGCCTTTTAATCGTGACATTCTGCGTTCTACTTGCTGAATGTAAAAATCCTGTTAATAGTTACAAAAAAAAAAAAAGTTAGTGCATCTATGCAAACATCAAGAGCCTCTCTGTAAATGTAGAAGCCCGTAGATAGCATGTGCTCCTAACTTTGGTCTGGGCCCTATTAGTCACTAAATCAACTTGGTCCTTCAGCAAATTAGGACAAAATCCTTCCTAGACTGAGAGGAGCAGCAGGAATGCTCCACAGTCAGGGTGCAGGACAACACAAACTTCATCAGAAAACCACCAAGCACCATTAGGGAGTTTAGAACATCACAGGATCTGGATGCATGAGGACTCCTAGGGGATATTTTTCAAAAAATACAACAACAACAAAAAAAAATACCCTGTCACAGTAACCATGGTAAGCTCAACGTATAATGAATTGTTTTGATTCTATTCTAGCATCCTTAATATTTTGATATTGCAAAACTAAGAATTTTTTTTTATTAAGATGTACGGGGAAACAAACACAAACATGAAGGGGAAGGTAGGCAAAACTGAGGACAAGAGACTTCCGCTGCCTGTGGAGGTAAGGCTGGCGGGAGATGCTCAGATCTGCGACTTCTTTTGTTTGGCTCTGGGTTCCTTTAAAGTAGTCTTTCCTCCATCGTGAGAATGTCTGTCCCCTTTGCCATTTTATTTTAGATTTGGGGTGGGGTGTAACTTTTAGGGTTCTCTGGAGCCTCCACCATCCTCCCATGATGGCCAGCTATCATCTAGAGAGCTGGCATATCCGGCTCGGTAAGTCCACCGCCACAATCGTTAAAGTCCTTGCAGAAGGTATTCCCAGAGAGGAGCATCTACCTGACTGTACATAATTTCCTGCTGCTTCAGGGTTTCAAAATCCAGCTTGTGTAAGCGTTGGTTAAGATGTTTCAGGGAGGAACGGGTTCCCTCGATCTCTGCTACCAAAGCCTTCTCTTTCATTGTCTCATTCTGTAACTCCTGAGATTTCTTAAATAGCACATCTTTCACTATGTTCAGCTGAATTTCCACTTCCTGATGAGAAATTGTAAGAATAACAGCAGTTATTTAAATTATAAAAACTTAAAATCTGTTCTTACATGAACATTAAAATTTAGGAGCTCACATGCAAATAAGACCTTCCTGCCAACATTTAGCCCTTGAAAGTAGAAAGTCTTCCCAGAGCTTCAGTCATTCCCCAAAGTTTCTTCTCTCTGGTGCTGGGAGACAAGGTTGGTAGTTTTCTATTCCTATGTCATGTAACCTTTTATCCCAACTCCATCCAATATTGCCTTGACCTCAGAACTAGAAACCCTGTGAATTCAGAGGTCACTAAATAGTCTTGAGGATGTAAAGGAAGAAATCATGCCATCCAATTTGAAGCTTCATAGGGCCACATTTAGCCATCATAGAGTGGATAGGGACTATGGGCAAATACTCCTTCTATGGTCTAAGTACTCCCACAGTGGGCAATTTCAATCTACTGGTATAGTGACAATATCATAGAGACAGCATACAGAGGCAAACCAACATACAGATGATATATGTAAGAGATGTCATTTTAACCTCAAGTTCACAGCTAATCACAGAGTATAATTTACAAATGATGAATGCTATTTGTTACTTATGATTTGAATATAATGTGCTTAATTATAAGTCTACATGCAAATTGGGTTTTAATAGTTGCTGTATTTGGCAGTAAAAAAAAAATATTTTTTTTAATCCTGAAAATGTTAACTTCTGGCTCTTGAAATCCGCAAGGAACCAGTGCCCAGCAAACCTTGTGCCTAGCCCTTCACTATGGCTTTGCATTCCTTGTTCTCCCTTCTGTGCTGGTCCCTAGGAAAGAGAAGGAAATCTCTCATCTTTATGTTTCTCAAGGGCAAACTGTGACCTAGATGCTTCATGAGCAACACGTCCTAAGTTCCCTTTGACCTACCAACCCCGGACTAACTTCAAGTTACCAGTTTTTTTTTAATTTTTTATTTAACTTTTATTAATTACACTTTATTCATTTTGTATCCCCCCATAAGCTCCTCCCTCCTCCCCTACTGATACCACTCTCCCTCCCCTTTCTGCATGCATGCCCCTCCCCAAGTCTACTGATAGGGGAGGTTCTCCTCTCCTTTCTGATCTTAGTCTATCAGTTCTCATCAAAAATGGCTGCATTGTCCTCTACTGTGGCCTGGTAAGGCTGCTCCCCCCTCAAGGGAGGTGATCAAAGAGCAGGCCAATCAGATTATGTCAGAGGCAGTCCCTCTTCCCATTACTATGTAACCCACTTGGACACTGAACTGCCATGTGCTACATCTGTGCAGGGGTTCTAGGTTATCTCCATGAATAGTCCTTGTTTGGAGTATGAGTCTCTGGGAAGTTCCCTGTGTTCAAATTTTCTTGTTCTGTTGCTCTCCTTGTGGAGTTCCTGTCCTCTCCAGCAAGAGAGAGGACCCTAACTAAAATGCTCAATCCTCATCCTGAAAGGCAAAGAGGATGGACATCAGAAGAAGAAGAAAATAGGAAACAAGCTAGGAACCTGCTACAGAGAGCCTCTGAAAGCCAGAAGAAGAAAACAGGAAACAAACTAGGAACCTGCCACAGAGAGCCTCTGAAAGTCTCTGCCCTGCAGACTATCAAAGCAGATGCTGAGCCTGATGGCCAACTGTCGGGCAGAGTGAACGGAATTTTATGTAAGAAGTGGGAAATAGTAAGAGTTACCACTTTTAAATACTGAAATAATTTTCACTCATAACCACATTCCCCCTCTGTAGCCAATGAACTTCAGTGTGCAACAAAACAAGCCCATGGCTAACATGCACAAATCCTCACAAATCAAAAAGTAACCAGTAACTGAATGTGGTGTTTCTCATGGAATTGTCGCTTCTCACTGAACTCAAGACCTTCTCAAAGACTGCTCAGCAGACTTTGAAAGCCTGGACCGAGTGGTGACAAAGTCCACTGAATTTTTCCCAAAACAAAAACTGAGACAAGGCCATCCTCTAACACAGCATTGGCTCCTTCCCACCAATACTCTTATTTTCAAGTTTGCCTCTTTTTCTCTGTCAATTATGAGGAAAAGAAAAAAGTCTTTTGTAGCCATTCACCATGTATGTCATGTCCAGTCCTCTTTGTAGCTTTATGGAGGCCTGGGCATCTACCTAGTATCATTTTCCTTCAACTTAAGAACTTCATTTTGCATTGCTCAGCTAGCAATATATCCCGATACCTACCATGTGTTTTCAAGTGATAGTTATTTATTTCTGTTTTCATTGACAGTTTCATACATTTATAGAATGAACTGTAGTCATTTCACCCTGATTTCTTTTCCCTTATTCTCCTCCCTCTCCCACTGGCATCTTTCTTCCCAGCAAGTCTACCTCCTTCTTCACGACTTCTTGTTTGCTTGTTTGCTTACTTGCTTGCTTGCTCGCTTGCTTGTTGAGACAAGATCTCACTATGTAGTTCTGGCAGTCCCATAACAATGTAGACCAGGCTGGCCTCGAACTCACCTGCCTCTGCCTCTCCTGTGCTGGGATTAAAGGTTTGTGCCACTACACCCAGCCTTCTATGACTTCTTTTGGTATGTGGTCCACTGAATTTAATTAGAGTCACTTGCCTGAGCATGAGTGGAAAGTTATTCATTGGCACATGAGCAACTTATCTGTGGCTACACCACTGAAGAGGGTGGCATCTCCTGCATTAAGCACTAATTGCCAGCAATCTTTCCGGGAGGGGTAGGCCTCACAGGTTGTCCCGTTAGCCATAATGAAATGCTGGTGGACACACTTTTGTGAAAGTCTTGTACAGATAACTGTAACTGCAGTGAGCTCAATTCACCTGATTTCTTTTTAAATGTCACAACTTATATTATGCTGTGTGATCCAAATATCTATTTTATGTACTTTCAGTTTTTCAAAGATTTTTTTTCAGAAGTTCTCATAAATATCCATGTTTGTACAAAAGAAAACCATGTTCTTAGGAAAGGTAAAACAAAAGGGCATGATTTGAACTCTAACGCCACTCAGGTTAAATGGCTTTGTTACTTGAGGATTCAGACACACTGAAGAACTAGGCATCATCGAGTATCAGCAGTCACATGGGAGCCTCATCAAATGCTCAAGGTTTGCCTCATCTTCATTATCCCTCCTCCATCTCCAAAATTACACAAAAATCAGGAACCAGGACTGCCATTTTCAAGATTCCAAAGGGAAAAAAATGGCAACGCAACCTCTTCCAGGCTCTACCGGCACACTGGACACTGGTGGAAGAGGAGGCCAGTATAATTAGTGAGACGGCACATTACACAGGCCACTTGCCACAGATGCTCCCAGCTTGTAAGAGGGTTAAAGCTAGGGTTTGGTCAGGGTCAGGGTTAAGGTTGGTGATGAAATACTGACAGTGGGCCAAAGTATGAGGATGGGAGGATTTGATCACAAATCTAACAAAATGATCACAGGGCAGAATAAGGTATAAAACAGGATACTTGCTAAAAATGTGTGCCTCGTATATCCAAAAGTTGCTCAAGTACATAACAAGGACATTTGCTCAACCATGTTTGTAGCAGCTTTATTTGTAATAGCCAGAACCTGGAAACAACCCAGATGTCCATCAACGGAGGAATGGATACAGAAATTGTGATACTTTTACACAATGGAATACTACTCAGCAATGAAAAATAAGGAAATCATGAATTTTGCAGGCAAATGGTGGGATCTAGAAAAGATCATTCTAGTGAGGTATCCCAGAAGGAGAAAGACACACATGGTATATACTCACTTATTTAAGCCCATAAGATATGATAAACATACTGAAATCTATACACCTAAAGAAGATAAACAAGAAAGAAGACCCAGTGTAAGATGATCAATCCTCACTTAGAAAGACAAATGGGATGGACATTGGATGTAGGAGAAAACAAGTAACAGAACAGGAGCCTACCACAGAGGGCCTCTGAAAGACTCTACCTAGAAGTGTATCAAAGCAGATACTGAAACTCATAACCAAACCTTTGGCAGAGCTCAGGGAATCATATGAAAGAAGGGGAGTTAGTATGACGTGGAGAGGATAGGAGCTCCACAAGGACCAAATATATCTGGGCACAGGGGTCTTTTCTGAGACTGTTTCTCCAACCAAGAACCATGTATGGATATAACCTAGAACCTCTGCTCAGATGTAGCCCATGGTAGCTCAGTATCCAAGTGGGTTTCCCTAGTAAGGGGAACAGGGACTATTTCTGACATGAACTCAATGGCAGGATCTTTGACCTCCCCACCTCCCAAGGGAGGAGCAGCCCTGCTAGGCCACAGAGGAGGGCTTTGCAGCCAGTCCTGAAGATACCTGATAAAACAGGGTCAGATGAAAGGGGAAGATGTCCTCCCCTATCAGTGGAGTTGGAAAGGGGCAGGGAGGAGATGAGGGAAGGAGGGTGGGATTGGGAGGGAATGAGGGAGCGGGATACAGCTGGGACACAAAGTTAATGAAATGTAACTCAAAAAAATTAAATTAAAAAATGTGTGCCTCAGCACACTGAGCAAACATAGGTAGGGGAACATGGGCACAATAAAAACTTAAAAGGAACTACAAGGGCATACTGAGGGCTCACCTTAGAGGAAGTGCTCCTAAGACTCCACGGTCCTCTGATCCTAAGCATGAATTACTTCACTCAATTTGAAAACTGCTATACTTCTGTAAAACAAACCTTACCTTCACACTTTTCTCCTCCTCCTTCAGCATGCTTTCCATGCTGGTAGCTTTCTCTTCAACAGATATGGTCTTCTCCGTTATCTTCTTTAATTTTTCCTTTACAACCTCATTGTGATGTTTAAGTTTTTGTAATCTAAATAGGGGTTTTAAGGAAATACAGAAAACATGCTTTAAAGAGTATGGGGGGGGGAGGTTGCTTCTTTCCCTGCAAATATTTTCATTACCATCATGTACCTGGTATAAAACTATAAAACTATTGCTCTGAGCCTCTCTGATTAAAAAAATAAAATAAAATTCTGGAGCTTGATAATGGAGCAAATGAGGTGGGGTGGAGCTCTGTGGGCTGGGGTGGGATTCACTGAGATGGGGTGGAGCTCAGTGGGCTGGAGAGACACTGAGTGGTAAAATGTTCACCTAACATACATTCAAGGCCCTAGGTTTCATTCCTAGTGCAATAATAATAATAATAATAATAATAATAATAATAATAATAATAACAACAACAACAACAACAATGTTAACAGTTACAATCTTGCATGTATTTACAGAGATAATTCGGTTTTTTTTTTCATTTTTTTATTAATTACAGTTTGTTCACTTTGTATCCCAGCTGTAGCCCCCTCTCCCACCCCCCCCAATCCCAACCTCCCTCCCTCTTTATCTCCTATGCTCCTCCCCAAGTCCAATGACAGGGGAGGTCCTCCTCCCCTTCCATCTGACCCTAGCCTATCAGGTCTCATCAGGACTGGCTTCTTTGTCTTCCTCTGTGGCCTGGTAAGGCTGCTCCCCCCTCAGGTGGAGGTGATCAAAGAGCAGGCCACTGAGTTCTTGTCAGAAACAGTGCTACAGAGATCATTGTAACCACAATTTTCTAAATATAGATCATAAACATATTTAATATTTGCATGCATTTATATGGGCTTTTCTTACTTTGCTGCTTCATCGTGGATATCCTTCTTGACTCTGGAAATGTTTTTCCTCACAGCTTCTAAGTCACTGGATGTTCTATTCAGAGTGGTTTTTAAAGTATCCAGCTGTTTATCAGTAGACAGAAAAAAAATTACACTTTCACATTCAATAAAATTATTTCATTCCTGAGAAACTTTGTTCTTCCTACTTTAAGTCCTAACCTTACAGCATCCATAAAAATAGCAACTTTGTGTGATTAACACACACCTGTAGATCTTCTTGGTTCCCACATCAAATTTTAAATGACTTTGTTTCCTAACATGAGAAGATGATATAGCCATATATCAGTTGAAAGAACATGTGAAAGTATGTAGTTCCTAGGACTGCTCTGGGCATGGCACATGACGCTGGCTCGATGGTTCTCAGCCTTCCTGGTGCTTTAATGCAGCTCCTCGTGTTGTGGTGATTCCCAGCCATGAAATTATTTCTGTTGCCACTTCATAACTGTGATTTTGCAAGTGTTATGAATGATAATGTAAATATCTGATATACGGGATATCTGATATGTGACCCCCGTGACAGGGTCATTGGAACCCCAAAGGTGTCGTGACCCACAGTTTGAGAACCAGTTCTCTAGATAACGTACTATGAATAGACAACCTGACAAATGTAGCTGATATGGAAAACCTCAAGAATCAACCCATCCTCTCCTCACTGCACTCACTCTCCAGTGACACACAGCTCACACCCCTCCTCCAGTGACACACAGCTCACACCCCTCCTCCAGTGACACACAGCTCACACCTGTTCTCCAGTGACACACAGCTCACACCCCTCCTCCTGTGACACACAGCTCACACCCCTCCTCCTGTGACACACATCTCACACCCCTCCTCCTGTGACACACAGCTCACACTTACCGTCCAGTGACACAGCTCACACCCACCCTACAGCAGCACACTTCATATGCATCCTATGGTTACATTTCCCACCACCCTCCACACCTTTGACTGTTACTCTAGATTGCTCCAAGCAGAAAATGTAAGCTATATGCAGGGGAGGCGTCACCAGGCCATGGGTAACAGTAGCTCAGTAACTAGCTTTCTGAGGAACTCCACGCTGACATCCACGGTAAGTTCTCCTTCTCGCCAGCAGTGAATAAGAATTCCACCGTCACAGAAAAACGTAAAACAACCCTAACGTGCACAAGAGACTCCAAAAATAAGTGAATAAACATCCTAGAGAAATCTCGAGCAAGAAAAATGGAACTTCGGTAATTACACTTCCTACTTTCCAGCTATAGCAATCAGAACAGCGTGATACCGGCCCCCAGATGGACACGTGGACCAGCAGAACAGAGCAGAGGGCAGAACCAAAGCCAAACATGTGCATACATCAGCTGACTTCCCACAAATTGCCAACAGTGAAAGTCAGCCCCTCCAGAAACAGCTCTGGAGAAACTGGACACCTACATTCAAGATAATGACATGCATTACTTAATAGAAATGATAAGTAACCGTACGTTATTTCTCTTGGGTGGTAGATAGAATCAACTCAGCATGGACCAAAGCCTCGCTGTGAGATCTGCTACTTTTGGGTTGCTAGGAAAAAGACAGAAGAGCTCTGTGGCAAAAGCACAGGCCATACAAGCAAGGTGAAGAAGCAGGACTCCCAAAGTCACACTCCTCTGCACAGCTCAGAACACCCACACGATGCACAGGCAACCTGCAGAACACTTCCAAACCACAGAGCTCATAAAGGGTTCACCTGCAAAATATACAAGCCACCCATGCTGCCCAACAGAAGTAAAAGCATAACAATTTAAAATGGGCAAAGGTGCCCAACAGGCATTTTCTGAAGAGAGTATCAGTAGGCAACAGCTATATGAAGACAATCAGCACCACTGAGTCTCAGTGAGCACAGCTCTCCATCACCACCTCCAGTTAGAGCTGGGGCTGTGAGCTGCATTTGTCACACAAAGGCAGTGGTGGTCAGCACAAAAATAAAAAAACAAAACAGTGTGGAAGTTTTTCCACATACAGGAGACCTAGATGGGGAGGGGAGGAGAGAGAAAGAGAAAGGGATGGCAAAGGGTGTGTATGAGTGTGAGTGGGTGGGTGTGGGTGTGAGTGTGTGCCTCTTCTGGGCAACATAGTGGAGCTGGCCCAGGGGCATGAAAGCAAGAGAGTTGATCCTGCCTCCTGGCCTTGGCCGCAGAGGATGGTCTAGTTGGCGCAGTGCTAGAGAACATACCCTGGTGATGAGAGCAGGGAAAGCCAGCCATCCTACCATCTCAGCTACCACCCAGATCCAGGGCTCTGAGTCGGCCCACCCCAAAATCTGTATCATCTGTGAATGGCTGACATGAAAGGGACCGTCCTGCTGCTCTAAACCTGCAGGATCTCCATGACACAGGAAAACCAGAGGCATCCTGGTGAGGATCCAATATTGATGGCGTACAGAAGCCAGAGATCTCAAACCAGACCAACCACTCATTGCGATAAATACTTGCAAGTGAAGACGTGTGGACAGAGGGATGTACTGTGTGACACAGTGAAATATTATGGCTTCTGCAATGGGATGTTTTCTATGCTTAGGGCTTTTTGTTTGTTTCTTTTTGTGGGTTTTGTTTGGGGAGGGTTGCAAGGGTGAGGGGCAGATATGAGGGGACAGGGAGAAGAGTGGGACTGGGATGCATGATGTGAAACTCACAAGGAATCAATAAAAATGTAAACCAAAACAAAACAAAAAAAGTGTGAAAGTCCCTCAGTATACTAAAATCTGAACTACCGTATGTTCTAGAAAACCCGCTCCCATACACAGATGCAACCTATGTTAAAGAAATATCTAGACTCCACATGCCTTGTAATATTTCTCATAATAGTCAGGATAGGCAAACATCCTAGGTGTTCCTAGACAGATGAACAGACGAAGAAAATGCAATGTTAGCTTGTGAGGGTGGGCATAGAATAGAATATTATTCAGCCCCTAAAAAAGAAATTCTGCCACTTGCAATACCAGTGACAAACCCTGTGTGTATGCTAAATAAACCGACAGATTTATTTAGCATAATAAAAGGACAGATACCATGCTAAAAATGGAAGTAGCTTCAGTATCCAACAACTGATGAGGGAATTATGATGCATAGCCGCGTGATAGGATAGTATTCCACACAGAGAAGATGAGGTTCTCAAAGAAACAGCATGCTACATGATTGCATCGAACACTTAGAGTTCCTACTACATGGGTCTAATATAAGAGATACAGATCTGGACAACCTAGAGGAACAGGAAGATCAGCAATGCCAGGTGTCAGGATGGGAGAAGGGATAATGAACAGTGACCAATGACCTAGAGCTTTGTTGGGGGGGGGGGCACTATAGTTAGATAGTAGGAGCTATTCTCATAACTACACAGATGTCCTGAAAGCCACTCACTTGAAATCTGTGAGGGATGGGCAGGGCTCTGGGAACTACATCCCAGTGAGTGATGAGCTGAGGAACGACTGTGTCTTTGCATTTGCCTGCCATGGTTAAAGCTCTACAGCTCTCAGCACAAAGCGGAAATTGCTTTCTTTAGAACCTTACGCAATTATCTCTTTGGACAGCAAAACTATCAGAGATGAAAGTACAACATACTGTGTAATAAAATGATTTCTAGCATTCAGCTTTTGGCCTAAGTAGTGGTAGCGTTGGATAACAGAGCCTCAGAACAGAAACATTAGGAGGGTTCTTTTATTGCTAGGAACAGGATCATTAAATTTGCACTCTGCAATAGCCTAGTTGTTACGGGAGCCTGTAAAAGAAGCTGAGGACAGGAGTCATGCTCTCTCTGTGTCAAGGCCATGCATCAGCAATCCTGTGGCCACACTCAAATATTGTCCTTTAACAAAGTGGAAAACAGCTTCAGAATCACTGGCAGAAGCTGACAATGATGTCACACATGTCTGGAAAGGCACCCTTCCATTCCACCATCCCTCAGAACGCTGCGGGAATACTCCTCCTCAGCCATGCCCAGAGAAGTTCTCCTGATCCTGGCCTCATGACCTCAAAGATGCTAGATCTGGAAGGAGAGCTGGCAATGCCTAGCACGTGTCCCTGCATAGGACGTGAGGTTTAAGGCATTCCCTATGGCCTTGCCATCCAAGGTTCAAGCAAAGTACACCAAAGTCCCATTATAAAGGGGACTTTGGCGGTCAGTGGACTGTGGCGGTCCATCCCCATTACATGGGAGGCAGAGATAAGCAGATCTCTGAATTTCTGGCCAGCTTGGTCTATATAGCAAATTTCAGGCCAGCTGGACCCTGCATAGAGTATATTCATCAAAATAGAAAGAAAAGGAAGAAAAAAGAAACACACACACAAACACAGAAAAAAAAAAATTAGGAAAAAAAGCCAGCAGGCCACTCTCTAATCAAATAGACCTTTGCCATGGACTGAGCAATCTACTCTGAATGCAGGACAGGGTTTAGGTGACACACCTCATCCTTGAGCTGACTTCTGCTGGCTTCATTTCGCTGGTATTCGAGCCTGCACTTTAACACTTTACGCTCGGAAGCAGCGATTCTTCTCTCATATTCCGCATTGTTCCCAACCTCATTCTCCAGAAACTTGATCTTCTCCTTTACCAGGGTTTCTTTTTCTCTTGCTTCCTGTTTTATCCTTGATAATTTCTAAGGATTGAAACAAATGCATCCATGTAACTATTTCTAATACGTACCAACTAAAATAAAAGGAAATTTAGTTTTCAATTTTAATAATCAATACTTATGTTTTTTTGTTTTTTTGTTTTTTTTTAAAAAGTCTTTAAAATGTTTTGTGCTGTTATTAGGAGTGTTTTATTGCTGTTTTGGCACAGGGTGTCACTGTGGCCTTGGGTGGCCTGGAACTCTCTGTGAAGACCAGGAGCCCTCTACCCAGACACCCCAGCTCATCTATTCATATGAGGACCAGGTTTGTCCTCCTCCCCTGTGACCTGACAGGGAAGTCCCATCAGGGGAAGTGATCAAAAGCCAGCAGCATAGTCCATGTCAGACATGACCCCCACTCCCCTAACTAGTGGGCCCACGTGAAGCGGGAGATGCCCATTGGGGTTATCTTCTTGCGGTCTGTGCATTGTAGTATATCTATCCTGTACTATAGGACTAAAATCCACTTATAAGTGAGTATATACCATGTGTGTCTTTCTGGGTCACTGATACCTCACACAGGATAATCTTTTCTAGTTCCATCCATTTGCCTGCAAATTTCATGATTTTCTTGTTTTTAATGGCTGGTAGCACTCCATTGTGTAAATGTACCAGTTTCTTTATTCATTCTTCAGTTGAGGGTGTTTGTTTGTTTGTTTGTTTATTGAGACAGGGTTTCTCTGTGTAGCCTTGGCTGTCCTGGACTCGCTTTGTAGACCAGGCTGGCCTCAAACTCACAGAGATCTGCCTGCCTCTACCTCCCAGAATGCTGGGGTTACAGGCATAAGGCACCTCGCCTGCCAACTAACTGATTTTTAAGGTAGCGTTTTTATACGTTCTCCTTAAAAATTAACATTTTCTTAAAATGTAGCGTTATATGTCGCTATTGTGCTGGTATAACCAAAAGACTGTCAGAATCTCCTAAGCCTAAATGTTTCAGAAGCTCACTTGAAAGCCTTCTTCACCCTGGCTATTCAGCCACTTAGGCAGATAATTTCATACTCATTCATGTTTCTTAACAGTGCTCCTTATTTGTTTGTTTGTTCATTCATTCATTTGTTCGTCCATTCATCCATAGGATTTCTCTCTATGTAACATTACTAGCTGTCCTGGAACTCTCTCTCTCTCTGTAGACCAGGCTGGCCTCGAACTCACAGAGATCTGTCTGCCTCTGTCTCCCGAGTGCTGGAATTAAAGGTATGCACTACCACTTCCTGGCAACAGTGATATTTATGATTAAGTAGTACACATGTTGTTTTGGCAGCAAGATATAAACTGGAGAAAGGGCGAAGGATCAGAGAGAAGATTAACCTGAATAGTCATAGGCTATAAGCAAATGCTGACCATAACTGCCATCTTGGACCTGTTTGGCTTACATAAGGTAACAAACAGGACTTAAAGTCTGAAAGTTACAGGAAGTAAAGAGCTAGACACTGACATCAGCCTCCAGAATGATGGGTGAGCAGGATGCAATATTTAACTGCAGTCATTTTGTAGAAATGACCCGTGATTCCAATAGATCTTCAGAGGAGAGACTGGCCTCAACCTTCAAGGGCTGTTGCTATTAAAACCAGAATGGTTCTCTATCATTTTTCTCAGGGAGGGATGGCTCTTCTCTCAATAAAACAAATATGCCCGCTGGATCTCAGAAGTCTAAACTGCCAGTCAGCTCGCTGCCTCTTCACGGGGTGCATGAGGAGCGGGGTTAACACTTCTCCCTGCTGCGTTTTCTCCCTCGGTTTCTTCTTTTCAAGCTCAGCCCTCCTGATCTCCCAACTGTGTCTGATATTGCATTCTTTAATGATTTCCCCAAACTTTCTCCTAAAGGCCCTGGAAAAGGAGATCCCAGGCCAGAATTACTACCACACCACCCCAACTCCCTTTGAGCATTCAGTCATCACTGGTGCTGTGGCACGGTGCTGTGGATCTTGCTGGCAGCCAAGGCTTCTCTTCTGTCCCTGTTTCCTTGCCCGCATTGTCTGCCACAGCCATTTCCACACACCTAGAATGTGGTGCCAAAGAGCAACATGGGAAATCCAAGTTACGACAGACAACCACGGGCCAGAACACTGGAAGTCTCAGTCTTCGAGGAGAATAACACTATAAACAAATGACCTCCATAGAGTCCCATTGCGAAATGCTCGACAGAGCTTGAAAACACATTTTCCAGAACCATTAAATGTTGCTGAAAAGTGACTTTCAAGCAACAGTATGATATACATTTTATTGTGTTGTGGTGGCGGCTTGTTAGTTGTGTTTGTTTTTGTTTTATTTTGATTTGATTTGATTTGATTTGATTTGATTTGAGTCAGGGTTTCTCTGTGTAGCCCTGGCTGTCCTGGAACTAAGTAGCCCAGGCTAGCCTCGAACTCACGGAGATCTGCCTGCCTCTGCCTTCCGAGTGCTGAGATTAAAAGCATGCACCACCACACCTGGCTATGACGTACATTTAAAATCGATGTGCTAAACAGGAGACAACAGCACTCAGCCTTGCAGGGGCTGAGCTAGCTCACCAGCGCGCAGTTATCTATCTCCTGATCCCGCCTCTGCATCTGCTCAATGGTGTTCTCCCACTGTCTGATGAGCTCCTGTCGTTCTAGGTGAATCTTCCGGAAGTCCTGTGATGCTTTATCCAGTTCTAACTGCCAAACAGATAGATTACACTTCCATTAATCTAAATGTTTTTGCAAATATCACCTCGGAAGTTAGGAAGTAAAAAAAATCTCTAGACCAACCTGTGCACTTAGCGTCTCCATGAGCTCATTGTCTAGAACCTTCCTCTTCTCGTTACAGTCCATGGTCAGCCTTTCTAACTGCAGGGTCAGTGCCTGAGGTGGTGACATGGAAAATATTTATAACTGGCATGGTATTTCCATTTTAAAACTGGTATATAGCATATCTAGCATTCTGTATCATTACATCTTATGTAAACACTATCTAAACAATATAAAATAATATGTATTTTCCTTACTGTCTATTCCCAAAGAGTTAATCTACTCTTCATATATACCCCCATGAAAATGCATTTGTTTCTAAGATGGCTTTTTGTTTGGTTGGTTGGTGTTTTGTTTTTCAAAACAGGGTTTCTCTGTGTAGCCTTGGCTGTCCTGGACTTGCTTTGTAGACCAGGCTGGCCTCAATAGAGATCCACCTACCTCTGTCTCCCCAAGTACTAGGACTAAAGGTGTGGGCCATAACACACAGCTAAAGATGGCTTTTAATGCAAATTAGGAGAAAAAAAGACAAATATATCCTGCTATTTTAAAATATTTAAAATAATGCACTTGGTATTTAATCTTCTACAGAATAGCATGTTTGTGACACTAACTTCATTATCACATGCAGAAGAATTTCTAAGTGGATTTTACACAATGTTACAATAACTTATCAACTGCAATATTATCTCAAATCAGTAGAACTTACATAAAATATTCAAATTAAATGTCAAGCAAAGTATCCAAAATTAACTAATAGTTCTAGTATGGCTAGAACTTTCTCCCCTAAAATGCTTTGAAAAATCCTCTGAAGTCATAACCCAGGTTTCCAGCGGGGCCTATGGCTTCCAAGGATCTGCAAAGCAGAGGCAGCCCAGCCGCACGGTGCAGGGTTGACTGCGGTCATTTTTCTAGAGAAAGAAAACTTGATTTCAACAGCTTCTTAGAGGAGACCCTGGACCCAAACCCCTCAAGGACAGTTGCCTTTAAAATCAGTAACTACAACTTCATGTTTTAAAAGTTGACTAGAAAAAAAAAAAAAAAGCAGTTCTAGCAATTTCTAACGTCTCACCCTGATTTTGTTATCATCTTGCTTCGCATACTTCTCAAGGGTAAGGGAGTCATTGTCTTTGTGGACAGACTCCTCTAACCAGGCCTCCAGTGCTTGCTGGTCCCAATTCATCTGACATTTCAAGCCATCCAGCTTTTGGGTAGTTTTAAATATGCCATTCTGATTTCCAAGGAAAGGGAGAAAACAGATGATGACAAAACATTATTTATTATGCAAACTAAAATAAAATATAACATTATACTTCCAAACAAATGAAGAAACCCAATCCCTGCTTTCCACATGTTCGTGACATAGTATGGTTTATTCTATCACTACTGTGTTCGTATTTTAATTCATCAGTTGTAAAACAGAGCTGATCAGACAAGGTCAAGAACAGTTGGTTAAGTCAAAGTTCTTGTAAAAAAGCCTTAGGGCAGTTCTCTCATAGAGAACTCATTAGATCCTCCACCAAAACCACCCCAAATATGCGAGTATGTGGACTAGTTAAAATAGCTTGCTTGACTGCAAGCAAGCCACTACAGGGTGTTCCTCCGTGGCTCCTGCCTCTGCTCTTGCTTGAGTTCGTGCCCAGACTTCTCTCTCAGAGATCAAGAGATATCAGGACATGTAAACCAAATAAACCCTCTTCCCAAGTTGCTTGTGGCCAGTGTTTTATCACAGGGGCAGAGAAGCTAACCAAGACAGGTCCCAAGGTTAACAGATGATTACAAAAGGTCAAATGTTAGGAGAACTTTAAAACCAAAAGTGACGTCTGCTAAGGGTGTTGCCTGCACCGCTAGGCAGGGCCCCTGCCCCAGGCGGGGATGCCGGACTCCTTCCCCGGAGGAAATAGTAGTAACAAGCAGTGAAAAAATAATTAAGAGGAGGGATGTGATATTTCATCATTTCACTCAAAGCACAGCTGTGTCTTTTCATTGTTAATGGAAAAAAACAAAACAAAAAGCACGTAAATAAATCACAGAGGAAAGGCTGGCTCTCCTTGGGGAAGGCAAGCCCTGGATTCCAGCAAGTCACACCCACTTCCTTATCACTCCTGCGCTCCCGGATGGTCTCCATTTCCTTCTCCAGATGTTGCATCTCCTCCTTGACCCGTGCCAGTTCTCTTTCAGCAATGGCCTTAAAATGTTCTTCACTTTCGATTTCATTCTCCCGTGCTTTGTAAAGAGACTGAAGAATAATACACGAGATAGAAGTACTTTTCATTTCTATACTATAAAATATAATACGCCACTACACAAAACAGCCCTGACCCAATTGTTTAGATTAAGTATCATTAACTCCACCAGGTAGAATCTCACCCCCCCCCCTTCAATGTTAGCCTGTGGGTCCTCTGCAGTGTGGCTTACCATCCATGAGGAGGTTAGCCACGTCCTTCACAGAAGACTACTGTCAGGAGGTCAGATATTATATGGCAGAAACTAAAGAAAGGAAACTGATAATGCTATAACTCATTCCTTACCGAAAAGTAAGAGATACTGGTTATTAGTAATTGAGAAAAGGATGTTTATATTGAGTTCATCACATACCCTACTTAACAGAGACAAGTTCAAGATAGTTATTTACATACCAAGGGCGCACATCTCTTAGAACGTGTTAGTACAGAGTCACATCTTTGTAGTTAGCTCTGTTTATTAAAAGGCTGTTTTCTGGCAAGAGAGCCCTTCAGGGATGTGTTCTCAATATTCATTTTACAGTAACAAAGCTGCAAACCCTGGGGGAGGCTTACTGACTTTGGTCTCTACAATCCAGGTTTCCTGGTAATAAGATGTTCTCTTAGAGACTATCTGTCCCTCCAATCCTAAGTCAGTAGCTCAGTGAGGAGTGGAGGACAAATGATTTCTCAATTATTCATCAAATCTTAAGGAATCTTAAGTATTGTTTAGAAAATTAATTAAATGTAAAACTTTTAATAGGGTTTATAATAAAATCCAATAAGGTGAGCAATTACCTTTATTGAATAGAAATTGTTCATAAAGCATGGCTTTGTTCATTTTAATGTAAGTAGTTCTCAAGAAGACACACTTAGTAATATTTTGAGTTGGAAATTGGAAAGTTCCCAGGCTGCTGTGTGCTGGGGTCTGGGCTCCTGTGGAGTCCAGTCACTCTGGACTCAGTCACTCTGTTTTAACGGACTAGCGTTGCTTCTATTTTGTTTTCGTATTTTATTTATGTGACTGGGCACATGACTACATGTCTCATGCATGGGGCTGCTTATGGAGGCCATTGCCCGGAGAGCTGGGGAGCTGGAGTTACAAGCCACGCTGCAAAGATTTCAGCACGAGTGCTGGGGACTGAACACAGGTCCTCTGGGAGATCAGCAACCATTCTCAGGATCTGAGCCATCTCTCTACTCCCAGTGTTGGCATGTCTAAAGTGAATTTTGCCTTCCCCCGTCATCTGAAAAGTCTCCCAAACGGAAGAACATCAGATATTACCATTAACATTTCAATTCCTAGAACCCACTGTACTGCCACGCGTGTGTAATCAAAGTACCTGGGAGTCTTGTATGGGAAGAGCACAAGTTTGAGACCAGCTATATAGCAAGATGATGTCTCGAAAAAAGTCCACTTCTTGACCAATACTAAAATACCAGGAAAAACCACAAGGGTTCCAGGAGACTGAAGATAAGCCTCTACCCAAAGTGAACCACAAGTCCATTCTGAACAGTTAACCTGCAGAAGGAAGCTCTGCTGGGCACACATCAGCTATGTTTGTCTACAGTTGTCACTCTGCATTGGCCCCAGTGTGCCCTTCTTGTGCTGGACTGCCAGTTAACACTAGATGAGAGTTTGAGGGTGGTTTCTCCTTAAATGAGACTTTGCTGACAATTGATAAGACTAGTTAAGTTTCTTAAAACGTTCTTTCTGTCTATGCCGGTTTCAAAGCTATGTTCATAATAAAGTTATTATATGGGTTTCCTGTTCTGTCTCTAACAAAATCGAAGATGGCATGCAATGCCCAATGGCTACACACAATACTATCAACATGGGCCAGTATTTCTGTACCTGAGTAAATAAAAATTCCTGATTAACATTCTTAAGGTGAGAAGACATCGAATTAATTCGATCTTCGTAGTCCCGAAGCTGATCTTGTAAGTTTGATTTTTCCTTCTGTAGTTTTGACAACTGTAAGTAATAAATGCCATGATTAAAAATCAAACTAAATATTCATTTGCTTTGTATCATATTCAGTTTGTGATACTAGAGACCTGATGCCTTAAACCACAGAAATGTATCTGTCACAATTCTGAAGGCTAAGAGTTGCAAGATTTCTGGTGAGACCATTTGCCTACTTTGCAAACAAATATCTTCTTGCTGTATCCAGACATAACAAAGATATTATCTCTCACTTTTCTCTCCTTATAAGGACACTAATATAATTTGTGATAGTGCCACCTTTGGGGTAGTTTGAATGAGAATGACCCCCACAGACTCATATATTTGAATACCTGGTCCTTAGTTAGTAGAACTGTTTAGGAAGGATTAGGAGGTGTGGCCTCGGAGGAGGTGTGTTGCTGGGGGTGGGCCTGAGGTTTTAAAAGACTCATGTCATTTCTAGTGCGCTCTCTGCCTCCTGCTTATATTCTGAGCTTGAGTTTTTGAGATTTGAGACTGTGATTCTTGCTGCCATTGACTATAACCCATATAAAACCTCTAACCTGCTAATCTTCTTCAATAAGTTTCCTTGATCGTGGTGTTTTATCACGGCAACAGAAAATTAATTAGTGTAAACATCCCAGTGGAGATCCTATCTCCCAAACATTATCTCACTGGGCATTAGGACCTCAAATTAAGAGATTTGGAAGGACACAAACATCCAGTATGTGATGTCTGGCTTCTTTACATTTCCACAAGAACAGCTGAAAAGATCGACTGGTCTTTTAAATATCAACAATGCTGCCATCTAAGGATTATTTTGGGGACATCAGTACTATAGCTTGTGTGACAGGATCTCCCCTCAGACCACAGTGTCAACAGCACTGCGTACCGGGGTGCACTTCTCGTGTAGCAGGGTTAATTCCCTGTAGGGCAAAAGCAAAACTCTATTCCATGCCTACTCTGTGGGCTGTCATATCATCTTAGCTTTCTATCTCTATGATAAACTCCTTGACCAAAAGCAACTGAAGAGGAAATGGTTTACTTCATCTTTCACTTCCAAACAACAGTATATCATGGACGAACCTGGCGTAGGAATGCAAGCAGGGAAAGTTACTTGGAGGCAGGAACTGAAGCAGGGGCCATGGAGGAGTGCCGCTCACTGGCTTGCTCTTCATAGGTTGCTTAGCCTGCTTCTTATCCAACCCAGGACCACCAGCCCAGGGATGGCATGACTCACAGTGGCCCTCCTGCATCAATCATTAGTCAGGAAAATGCCCCAAAGGCTTGACTACAGGCCAAGCTTATGGAGATATTTTCTCAGTCGAAGTTCCCACCTCTCAGATGATGCTAGCTTGTGTTGACGGCAGGGGTGGGGGGAGGGGAGGGGACTAGCCAGCACACTTGGTAAATATGATCAAGAAAGCAAAGGGGCCAGTAAATGTTTGCTCTGCATACACACAAGCCAGGCATGGTGACATGCTCACAGAGATGGGAGGATTACTTAGATTCTTAGCCTAATCTGGGAGCTCCAGGTCCCAATAACAGACCACATGTACAGTATTCACCCACACCCACCACCACACAGCCCAAACGCGTGCCCCAGAAGAAAGAAGAATGATGCAAAGGAAGTTGGGTGGAACTGCAGAACAAGAGGCCTCAGTTCAAACACTGATGACACAGCCAGCAGGATCACTCTCCCAAATGCCCCTTCTACACTCATAAAGGTAAGACTGTCTGAGAGCTCAGGAAGCAGTGTGTGTGCACAGTTCTGGGCTACAGTCCCCTCAGCTAGGGCACCTCCCTTCCATTAAAACACAGAAGAAAGTTTTAGAACTTTTACCTAGTGAAGAAAAAGAATACTAATTTATTTCTTTGTTTCTTACACTTTACTAAAGCTACAAATTAGCATTATTAGACCTTAATACCCCTGTATTCCCCTCAGAGTTTTACAGGCTTCTGCTTGCACTGGCTGTTGCATTAGCTTTTGTTCTTAGCTTTAATACCATCTTTTGTTTACTTTAATATTATTTTCAATGTTTGTTTACTTTTCTATTTTATGTGCACTGGTGTTTTGTCTGCATCTACGTCTGCTCGCTGTGCACATGCCTCATGCCTGCAGAGGCCAGAAAAGGTCATCTGACACCCAGAATTGGAGTTACAGATTGTGTGAGCCACCGTGAGAGTGCTGGAAATCAAACCTGGGTACCCTAGAAGACTAGGCAGTGCTTTTAACTGCTGACCCATCCCTCCAGTCCCCCAATGTTATTTTTAAATTCATTTTGACTTACTGATTTAATTATGAAGGTTTGTACAGCTACACACACAGCTGGATACAAAGAAGACCCCTTGAATTATTTTCTAAAGGCTGTTTCTAGTTCAAGTTCTTGTTGATATAAAGTCTAACCCAGGATGTGTTTAGAGAATGATGCTTCAGTATATAAGATAAAGGATGACTTGAATTTTTTTTTTTTTTTGAAATTGCCTTTGTAAATTCTGTTGACTTTCTATTAGGGATAATGGTTTATAATTCTGTTTTAGCTATTATTTCTGTTTTATCTAACTTCTGTTGGTCTACTGTCAGAGAGTATGAGCTTTAAGATTTCTATTTCTATGGTATTTTAGGGACAGTAATGGCAAATGACACAACAAAAATATTGCCATTGTAACCATTTTGATATTATGGTTCCACAGCATTAAATGCACTCACATTATTTTACCACCACCATCCTTTCCCACCACATTTTCAAGTTCCCATTTTGAATAATGAGCTCTTTAAACACAAACTCCCACTTCCTGGTCCCAGGAAATCACCATTCTGCTCCCTATACCTGTACATCTGACTGTTCTAAGTCACTCATTAAAAAAAAAAAAAAAATGTGCCATGGTCTCTGTCCAGCTGTGTGTTATTCATTTCAAGAGCATGATGCCTTCTTGGCTTATCATTCACTTTCAGCATCAGGATCTTTTATTGGGGAGGGGGTATCACATTACTCATTTTTAGCATTTTTATGGATATCTTTCTACGACATGTGCCAAGGGATGCATTCTCTCTACATTTTATACTTTATTGTATTGTTCAAGTTCTCTGTGCCTTTAACTTTGTCTATTCCACTTGTTTAATTCTGAGGAGGGCATTTATTGAAGTCTCTCACCACAGCATTAATTTGCCAGTGATGCTTGCACTAGAATTGGTCCTGCTTTGATGAGCTGGTTGCTGTATTGTTAGTTGCGATGGCTTCATGTCTTTCATATGAGTCACCAGAGATGCCCTAATCACTGCATAAGGCCTCCAGAAGGAACCCTCTTTCTCTCCAATGAGAGCATAATGATTATCACTTGATAAGCCCTCACTGGGGTTTCCAAACTTTATCGATTCTTTCATAAATACAAAAGGATATACAGCAGATACTTGTTGAGAAATACAGCAACACATGAGATATCAAAACAAACAAACAAGATCTCAGAGGAAACATAATGCGGAACTTAAAACCAAGAACTAAATACACATGGGGACATTTACAGAGATAGGTTGGAAACACGATTAACCCCTGCAAGACCATGGTTGCCATGAAAAGCAACAAGCAAAAAACTTGAATATACAGTTCATCACTATTGTTGCCAGAACAAAGCAAACAACATGAAGCTAAAACTACAAATGCTTCCAGAGATGCTATTGTAACTTGTAAGAGAATAGAAAGTCCAGGAATGTATTATTTGCGAGTACCACTAGAGAATAACACAGCAATACATTCCAATTTAGGGGAAAATCAAGTCACAGGATAGGAGCCTACCACAGAGGGCCTCTGAAAGACTCTACCTAGCAGTGTATATGAAAAAAGGGGAAGTTAGTAAGACCTGGAGAGGACAAGAGCACCACAAGGACCAAATATATCTGGGTACAGGGGCCTTTCATGAGACTGTTTCTCCAACCAAGGACCATGTATAGATATAACCTAGAACCCCTGCTCGGATATAGCCCATGGTAGCTCAGTTCCAAATGGATTCTCTAATAAGGGAAACAGGGAATATTTCTGACATGAACTTAAAAGCGAGGTCTTCGACCCTCCCCCAAGGGAGAAGCAGCCTTGCTAGGCCACAGAAGAGGATATTGCAATCAGTCCAGAAGAGACTTGATAAGCTAGAGTCAGATGGAAGGGGAGGAGGTCCTCCCCTATTAGTGGATTTGGAAAGGGGCAGGGAGGAGATGAGGAAGGGATGGTAGGATTGGGAGGGAATGAGGGAGGGAGCTACGGCTGGGACACAAAGTAAATAACCTGTGATTAATATAAAAAACAAACAAATAAATAAATAACAAATTAGGGAAAAATAATTTCCAAATTATCAAATGGAAAGGTAAATATAGTCACTCTGAGATCATAGTGCTATATTACACCCTGTTTGGGAATGTGAGCCAGGGTCTCTTAAAAAAAAAAAAATCTGAGCAAAACAAGTTAAAGGGGGAAATACTTGCTTGAGCGGTCTTGAGAGGCATCGGTCCCTCGTTGCTTGGACCTATCATGTTTGGGAATGTGGAGTGAAGTGAAGTCACTCCTTTCATCGCAACTGGAAATGAGCAAGGAAAGACCTGGGAGCCAGGAATCTGCTTCCTCCATTTAGTCCCCACCTCCTAGGCACCCATCAATCAGCAAGTCATCAATAGGTTTATCTACTGATAAAGTTACTCCTCATGATCCACCTCTCTGCTGAGGATCAAGCCCTCAACACATCAGCCTTTTGAGGGGATACCTCACATTCAAACCCCAGCATGGAGGCACAAGACAGACTCTCATCAAAAAGAATCACTAAGACAAGAGAGGTGGTTTAGGAACTGGAACCTCAGCCTAGCAGAAGAATCAGGGGAATCCCCAAGTCAAGTGTGCATAGCAAGGCCTGTGGGGAGATTAATCCCTACTGGAATCTTCAGAGCTCCAGATGAGGGTCAGTGCAAGGGAGGAAGTGATGGAGAGCCTTAAGCCTCTGCTTTGGGTTCTAAGCAAGGATGCAGACAGCTGAAAGCACAGCACTGCATGACCTTCCTGAAATAACCAGAACGAACCCCAACCAGCAAGATAAATTCAGGAAGCATAAACTAAGTAGAATCAGCCACAGAGAGGACCGCTGTCAAGTTAAATATGAATCAAAATGACACTGGACTACACAGAAATACAACAAACAGATAATCTAAAACTAATAAAAACCACATTTTATTCTATTTGAATATCTTAAACTTACAAAGTTGCTTTGATAATGCCAGACTTTTGCTTTTTGTTTGTTGGTTGGTGGTTTGGCTTGGCTTTGGTTCAGTTTAAAACAGGAGCTCACTATATGACCCTGGTTGGCCTTGAACTCACAGAAGTCCACTGCCTCTGCCTTCCCAGTACTTAGTTTAAAGGCACCATGCCCAGCTAATGTCAGTTTTAGTTGGACTTTGATTTTCTTTCCACTGCTGTATAGGCTTTTGTTTTGCTTTGTTTTGTTCTGTTTTTTGTTTTGTTTCTTTGTGTGTGTGTTTGTTTTTTTGTTTTTTTTTTTTTAAGCAGCTAGCATAGGTAATACAAAGTCCCATGAGACAAATATGGCAGCCATACTAAAAAGCAACACAGTGAGTCCTGTCTGTGGTGCCTTGCAGGAACACTAAATTGAAAGGAGATTGTCTCCATTGATGTCTAGTTTGACAAAGACATACATCAGGTGGGCAGGCACGCTCTAAACCTACAGCTGGCAGCTATGACTCCTGATCTTTTGCCCGGCCTAATGTTGACAGTCTCTACGGGAAAATGCCCAATCCTAAATGCCCAGACGAGGAATCAGAGCAGAGCACTCTGCTTTCCATACCTTTCAGCAGATCCACTAAGGGGGGGGGGGGTCATTCTCATTATTCACAGGGCGGAAAAGGTTCTCTTCTACTTTGCCAACTTGCACACACCCTTGGTTCTGGGGACCTCTTCCCCACACCGCAATACCAATTCGTGGGACTTTGGGCTGGCTGCTAATGCTGTGTGAGCTTTGCGGAGCGGGTTGCAGATCTTTAACATGAGGCTTAAACTGCATGTATTCTAGTTGGTGCAAGCTTGTCTTAACGATGTGAAGTATTTCAACAGACACTGACACCTTCATCCTCACTCTGAAACTCCACAGTGCATACTTCACTGAAATGTTCCCCCTTGAAAGCGACCCGAGGCACTTTAAACACCACAGAAAGGCTAATGCTCACGAGAATGTGTGTTGCGTGTGCGCGTGCACGGATGGCGGTTACTGGGCAAACACCCAACAATGCATTTGCAACCCTTAATTGGATCGGGAAAGCCTGCTAGCTGGCACCTGAAACAGCTGGAGGAGTGAGATTCGGGTTTTACGACACTGAACAGAAACTGTTGTTTCCTTAAAACTTTCAAGTGTGTACTGTTTGGAGCAGCAGGGGAGGCGGGGAGGACGGGCTTCAGACCTAAGGCATGAGGTCAAGACACAAGGGGCGCAGATGAGCTGGGCAGCGTGGCACCTGGACGCGGGACTTGTCGGTCTTCCCTGCCCCCCGCCCCGCCCCGCCCCGATTCCCACTGGATACCCACCTGGTCCTGCATCCTTTGCTCAGTCTCACCTGGTCATCCATACTAGCACTGGTCCTCATCTGGCTGTCCTGGCGGAGCTCAACCAGTCCGTCGACCGTTCCTCAACCGCTCCTCTCCTGTCCGTCCGTTCCCTAACTCCCACCCGGTTCTCCTCACCTGGTCCTCCAGCATCTTGTTCTCCTGATTGGCCACGGGGATGGCGAACCCATCTTCCCACTGCAGCTCTGACAGGAACTCGCTGCTCATAGCGCACGGAGTCGAAGGGAGCCGAGCTAAGCTCCCCAAACCGCTCGCTGGAGCTCGCAGCCAGGAGTCTGCAGAGCCTACCTGATTGTTTTCCGCGGCCCTGGCAACAGCCAGGCGCCCTTAGTTACCAAACAGGAAGTACTCAGGCTGGTAGGCGGAACTTCCTTTAAGAATTCACCGGTTCTTCTTGAAGCCCGTAGAGAACTTGCTTGCTTGACACTGTGAGGCTCAGCTTTCCTTGTAAGGATATGGTCACGCCTAAAACTTCCAGAAGGTGTAAATCTGGGTGCTCGGTTGCTCCAGAGGACCACAAAGTTGGGGAAGGGGAAGACAGGGTTTCCGAGGTGCCGGGATGGTGGACTACAGGGTTTCAGAGTGGAGGACCTCAAAATTGCAAGGGACTCTGATACCCAAAGGAACTTCGAATTTATTATTGAGCCATATACGAGGGATCATGGTCTGGGAACACGGATCCTGGCTGCCCCAAGTAGCGTGTTCTAGCATGGAAACTGTTTCATGACATTTCCGTAATTGCAGAATAGAAATCAAGGCTTTTTTTTTTTTTTTTTTAATGAGAACATCATCAGGGACCGCATAGCACAGTTGGGAAGTCAGTGCTATAGGTTTCAGATGCTATCTGATGACATTCTTAGCTTATGGGTTGGTGGAAGCTAGAGTATTACCTGGTAAAATGGGCAATGAATGGCTATTAAGGAGACTACAGATAGCCCAAGATAATTTGGGTCTGGGTTTCCAACTCCACAGCATCGAAGTTCTGATCAAGTCAGTCATGTACAGGATGCCTGGATCGAAGCGCACCCAAAAGGCCGCTGACAAAGACAATACACCAGCTCCTTTCCCGATGCCATTTGCTGAGTTGTGTGTGTTCCACAGACTGCTTTGAGAGTAAACCGAGAAGGATGCTGTGCACTGGTGTTTGAAAAGTTCATTCACTTCTTAAATTCTTTCTGGTTGGTAGGATCTTTGCCAGTTGCAATCCAAGCCCAATTGCAGCAACTCAGGCACCCAACCATTCCAGCAATACGGCTCCAGCGCTCACTCTTGCCATTGCCCTGTGGCCTCTCTAGACCCATCTCTTACAGCTTCTGGTGACAAGGGCTAAAGGCAGTGATTGCAGCATCTTAATTATCCACAACAACAGTGGATAAAAGGCAGCTAGCTCTAGGACACCTGGCACTATTATCCCGACAACCTCTAGTTCTGCAAAGGGAGCAGCTTAAAGATTAGCGGTCCTATGCAGAGCGAAGATACACCAGAAGTCTCCAACTTCCTCCCTCCTCACCATAAGCTCTCCTACCACAGATTCAGACACAACCACCTGTGTGAGGGCTTCTGACACTTGTTGGTCTATAGCTGAGACAGGGGATTACACAGAGTGGGCTTTCCTTCCTTCCTTCCTTCCTTCCTTCCTTCCTTCCTTCCTTCCTTCTCTACCTCCCTCCTTTTTTCTTTCCTTTCTTCCTTCCTTTCTTTCTTTTTCTTTCTTTCTTTTTCTTTTAATCCATAGTAAATCCTACATAGGTCTAGTTTGTGTAGGTAGTGTATACACAAATATTCATTGTATTTAAAGACTAGTGACAGTTATCTGTAACAGACAGTGCAGCCCAGCCATGGAACACCTTACTGACTGTGCAGGTCTGTCTTTTGTTGGACTCTTTCAGGGCCTGTAAGTAGCTCTCTGGGTCTTTTGTGCAATGGTAATCCCAGTGTCAGAACTTAAAGCACTCTAGTCTTTGCTGTACAATGTCGTGGCCATTTGCTGCCATTCTAGTTATCAGCTTATTTCTGTCAATTCCATGCTGGGATCTGGAGACAAAAGTTAACAAAATGTTTTGTTCATTTTTACCAGCTCTACAAGGAAAGACCAGGCAAACAAACAACTTACCAGACACTAAACTATTTATAAACATTTAGTGTTTAGTCTTAATTATATCTATATTATAAATGTGTGCGTGTGGGCATGTATATACATATATAATTTTGTATTTTGTGTTTCCACAGATCAATGATACAGGGAAAAGTATACTGAAATTCTGGCTTTTGAAACGTTTTCAGAGCAGGGGATATATCCAAGACTTCTCCTATGTTAGATAATCCTCTACGACTGAGCTACAATTTCCCCACCAGGAAATTGCCTTTGATGATGGATAGCACCACAGTAATTTTCAGCTTAGCTAATACTATTACTTTGCTAAATTTAGTTTTATATTTTCTTCCTTTGTTAATATTTTTTGGAATTTCATACAACGTATTTTGATCTTATTCACCCACGACTCCATTTCTTCTTACTGTTATTTAAGATGGGACCTTACCATGGCTTGAACTCACAGTGATCCTGTCTCAGCCTCCAAGTAGTGGGATTATAGGTGTGCACAACCATGCCTGGCCAGTGGTATGGCTTTCGACCCTTAAGTAACTTGTTTGAACTCTACTTGTTTATTCTGGATGAGTGCATGCTTTGTTAGTGAGCACGATTCCAGAGGCTGTACTCCAGAAGCCTCCAGAATGCAGAGACCAGCACTGAGGATCTGCTTGACTTCACAGACAGTTGGGAGAGCTGTTTCCCAGCCACCACGTCTTCAAGTTCATCTTCACTCACTTCTTCTAATCCTCACTCTTTTGAGATGGAAATCTTTGGGGTATGGCAGCCAGGGATTTGAGCATGGCACTGTGCACAGGGTCAGCCACGTCTTTATTCTGCATCTTGGTAATGGTGGATATGGTAAACTGGCCAGTGTCAACCCTACTTATATCTGGGGCTACAAAAAAAACACGCTGTACAAGTAGACTGCATTCTGGGGACAGCATGGTATCAGAAACATGAGCATCCCTTGGAAAGCTCTACGATCCCTAAGGATAGCTCATGAAGCAACAGGTTGGTACACCACCAAGAATGCTGCTATCTGCAGCCACAGTCCACCAGACCCCCCGGAAGGAGCTTGGTCACAAGGCCTCACAACTTGAGAGGCCTAGTTAATTGACTTCAGGTTGAATGAGTGAGTTCATTTATGAGTGAGAATCATTACCTTCGAATGTAATTTTGTTTCTCATAGATTCAATCCACTACTAAATTTGCCAGCTTTATCTTCAAAATATGGTCATCATTTGACCAGCCCCTGTTGTTTCTCAGCTGTTATAGCATCAGAAAGTTCCTTGTATCACCACTCACTTATTTAAAGTCTCTCCTTTCATGTAAACACCATGTTGACCTTCGTCACTGTTAGCTATGTTTCCGTAATGGAAAGTACCTGAGATAGTCAACTTAAGAAGAGGGAAGGTTTATGTTGGCTCATGATAAGAAATTACATCCTACATTTGATAAATCCTGTTACTTTGGGGCCTGGGGAAGGCAGTACATCGTTGGGATTGCCTGGTGGAAGCAACTATTCTCCTCATTGCAGCTAGGAAGGGGAAGAAAGAAAAATAAGAGTGGCCAAGACCCATTGAGTAAGGCAAGCATAGGGAATGGCTTAGCAACCTGACTCCACTTGGCCTGGGCACTGTGTAACTTTGTTCTGACAAGGCACTGGGGAACCAAGCACCTCATGTGCTATGTTCACACACTCTTCCCTGAAAAATGTTCCTAGCCACCTGTTAGAATGCAGGATATCCATCTGCACTGAGCTGTGTGTACCTTTATCTGAGAATAAGTTCTCCTCTCCTTACTGGCCACCAAACTTAGATGGTTTCCATACACACAGGTTCCTAACACATCTAGGGGTGAGGGTAGGAGGGCAGGCCTGACATAAACTGGTTTGGAGTGTCTACGTACAATAAGGCAAACTCTGTCCTCTAAGTGAGATTTGAAGGAGAATCTCCTATTTACCATCTATTCCTATGCATAATTGGGCATGCCAATGACTAAAATTATGCCTCATGGGAAGAAACGTGAACACTGAGCAAGGGCTTACATCATCCAAGCCTATCAATTAAAATACCCAATTACACCCCTAGACACTGAACCTTTTCTTGAACCCCATAAAATGTAGCCAAAAGCAATAATCAGCCTTGAGTACCCTCATTCATGTGGCCCACTGTCAGCCTTGACAATCTATCTAACCTGAACTGTCACCTTGCTTCGAGTCAAGTCACCTTGCTGAAACTCTGGCTTTGTATCAACTTTTTTAATGGCTAAGAAACTGGAAAAAGCTGGCCCAGACCCATTCACTGCTAACATGTTTAGCAAGCCAGCCAGGAATTGAGAAAACACATTCTTTCCTGTCTTAGTGCACATTTCCTCACAGCTTTCATTTTTTTTTCCATTTTGATGCCTGTGTTCTAGTGAACTTTGTCAGTGAGCTGTTGGCCCTTTTAATTGTGCCATGTCAGTTCATGGGAATTGTTTTTACCTTTATGTGTTAGTTTATACCCTGAGAAGGAACTGTGTGACAAAAATGTATGACCCTTTCATTAATGCCTTAAGACAAACTATGTGCTTTTCTTGACATATTATAATGAGAACTTTGGTGTCTTAAAAAAAAAAAAAGCAGTTATGTTGTGTATACGTGTTTTTATCTTAATCCCAGGTGTGGTACATGGAGCTGCTTCAGATTGTCCACAGCGGCAGACTATTGCCTCGTGAGTTCTCTTGCAGGTGTGTGACTCTTCCATCTGAAGATAGTTTAATTTTGGGGACTCTAGAGCCAGAGCCCAGAGAGGAACGGAGGCACTCCAAAGAAGAAGAAGGTGTGGCTGTTCCTCTTGCTAGTTCCTGCTCCTGCTGCTGCTGTTGCTGGTTTGTCTAGTGGTTGAGAGAAAAGAGACAAGAAGTTGGAGATGATATCCTGATGAGATGAAGAGTAGATTTCTCCCAAGAAACTCAATGCCCCTAATCAGCAGGAAGTAATCTAAATAAGAACTCAACTCCCCCTCTCCCTCCTAACCTTCTTCCTCTCCTATCTGGTGTTGAAGTGCTGGAAGGGATTGGGGTTGAGAAAGGTGATAGATGTAAGAACCCAAATATTTTTTTTTAAATACACCTACAACATAGGCCTAATTTTAAGATACATGTATATGTGTGATGTGTGTGAGTACCCATTCATATATGAGGTGGCATGCACGCGGAGGCCAGAGAACAACGTTCAGAGGTCGGGTCTCTCTTCACTATGGGATCCAGGGATCAAACTCATGTTGTAAAGTTTGCACCGCAAGAGCGTTTGCTCTCTGTGCTGTCTTGCCAGTGTAGAAATGATCTTTTTTCTTAAAAAAAAAAAAATAGTTTGTTTCTTGAGTCAAAGCCTCTCTATTATGTGCTCAGCTGTCCTGGAACTCATTATGTACACCAGGCTGGTCCCAGGCTTACAGAGATCTACCTGCCTCCACTGGAATTAAAGGTGTGGGGGGTAGGGGTGAGGGTGTGATCTACAGAGGTCAAAGGCAACTTTCAGAAGTTGGTTCTTTTTTCCCCTAAGATAGGTCCTAGGGATGGAACTCAGGTCATCAGGCTCAGCAACAGGCACCTTTTAACCACTGAGATATCTTGGCCAGCCAATAACTTGTCTGTTGAATAAGAATGGCCTCCATGGGCTCAGGTATTTGAAATGGAACTCTTTGATAGGAGTAGACGGACTAGGTGTGGCCTTTTGGAGGAAGTGTGTCATTGGGGATGGTCTCGGAAGTTTTCAAAAGCCCATACCCAACCAAGCATCTCACTCTCTTCCACTCAGCCTATGGTCAGGATGTAGCTCTCAGCTACTGCCCTAGCACCATGTGTGTCGCCACGCTCCTGCCATGATTATAATGTGTTGAATCCTAGAAACTGTAAGCAAGCCCCCAGTTAAATGCTTTCTTGGTCATGTTGTCTCTTCACAGCAATAGAACATTGAGACATTGTCTTTAAGTGGGGGAGTCCCAAGGACTTTTGATGAAGTTACATTGGAGGTGGAGGATAATTTAAGAGCTGACACTTTTATTTTATTGTCTTACCACACAGAAATGTACATTGCTCCATTTATTCAGAGCTTCTTTTCTATAGTTCTTAATTTAGTTGACCTGAGTAAACTGAGAGAATTTATCCACAGCAGAATTGGAGAAACACTCCGAGCTTGCCTAAGTAAAGCATGTCTACAGAATGACATATTAGCCAATGTGTGCCCCAGGGCAGTGCAGCCTGTTACAGCAGGATTGAAGATGAAGTAGATGCCAGTGTGAGAATGCCACAAGACCAATGACTGCTGTGCTCAATGTGTCTACTGGCTCTTGTCAGTGACCAGCACTCTGTGCAGGAGCGTCCATCACAGGCTTTGTCAAGGTTTCTCTGGGCACATTAATGTGGGTTCCAAGTTCTCATCATGGAGCATTAACCTCACCTGTAGAGAAGCGACAGTATTTCTGATGGCATTGTTGGAATTGTCCCAATGTTTCAGTCATTGATCCGGTACCTGTTAGCATCTTAATACTTGCTGAATTAATGAGTGGGTTGTCCTAAATATGTATTTTTCTGATAAAAATGGCTATACTTCCATTTTTACAAAAACAAACATTTTTGAAGCGGAAAAAAATAGTAAAAACACTTCTCTAATGACTAATTTTTTTTTTCAGTACAGAGGATCAAAGCCAGGGCCTTCCCCATGGGTGATAACTGTTCCACCACCTTGCTACATCTGAGCCCTAGTTCCAGACTTTCTAATATCTTTCTCTGAAATACATAGTCACAGATTTTTTTTTCCAGTGTCAGCCACTTCTGTGTAGAAATACTATGTAACTGAGTTCAGTCCAGGTATGTTTGTGAGCAATGATGAAATCAAGCCAGAGTGAACTGTGTGTGTATCACGGTGGTGTGTGTGCATATATATATATATGTGGGTATGTATGTATGCATGGACGGATATGTATGTGTGTATTAGATATATATGTATTAAGTATATATGTATGTATGTGTGTGTCTGTGTGTGTGCATAAATCTATATGTATATATGAATCCATGTTTGTATGTGTGTATGCATAGTGTGTATATGTGTGTTTATGTGTGAATATGTACATACATATATGCCTATGCATGTATCTACATATGTGTATTGTGTATATGTGTGTATGTATGTGTATGTGTGTGCATGTGTGTCTGGGTGTATATGTGTATGCTTGTATAGTCAGTTGTGTAGATGTATGACTTTAAACAACAGCTAATAATTTTTTTCTGACCGTTTCCTAAAACCGGGAACAGAAGAGCTGTTTATATCAAAGTATTTCCAACATCAGTACCCTGGAGTGTGAGGCCCTGAGTCAGCCAATCCCCTGCAAACCTGTGCTACTGAGCACTTCACTGCTGGCGGAAATGTGTATTCTGCTGGCCTCACTCATCTGTGGAATCCAGCAGATGGTGCTGCATGTCTGTATATGTAAGACGTCACCACAAATGCTTTTTCCCTTCATCTCTTGTTGCTCACTCCAGTTTCATAAAGGCCTGCTAGTACAATGAAGACCATGATCCCCAACATCTGGGCCAAACATCTGGTTGCAGCATTGGAGGTGAGCTTGAGAAGTCCCTCCCCCAAATAACCGTGGACCAAATAGCAACCTAGCAGTCTGCTGCCATCTTCCCTTTGATTCCATGTTATGAATACCCCTGTGCAGGAAGCATGGTCTAGTCCCTCTTACTTCTCCAAATGCCACAGCTGGCATGGCCGAGAACAGCCATAGTCATGCTAATAATTAACAACAAAATAAAGGCTGAAGATTGCAACTCGTAGATCAGTCTTTTACAGAGATTACATACGTTTTAACTTCGGGACAGTATAAAAATTCATAAACATGAATCAGTGATTGAGCTAACTATATATGTTCATTATGAAGTTTCAGAGACCAAATCCTTTAGGAAAGTAAGGATGGTGTGCAGAAAGCACAGATAACTCCCATCACCTAGCAACCCATAATTAATTAATGTGACTTATTGACCCTAAACAGGACTAGGAAACATATAATTTAAGCCCGAAATTATCTATTTCACCTTCTGTTATCTGGAGG